GTTTTCTGGATATCCCCGTGGTCGTTGCCGTCGCGATATTTCAGGAACATCGATGAGTATTTTTTCTGCTGATGAATGGTGCGATGTAGTCAGATGACAGTGTGCAAAAAATCTTGCTACTGCTGGATGCTTACACATCAGTGTGCATCAGTGTGCACACTTAGATGCATCAGTGTGCTGAACCTGGTACATGCATAAGCCTAATGCCTTGCACCGTATTAGCATCGGGCCAGATTGCTTTGACTTTGTGTATTAGTTTCACCCAAGGGGTTTTTTATTATTTCTGCCTGAAGTAACCTTCACAATGTTATGGTTTCTTGGCACATTGGCTCTATACACTGCATTTGCTTGCAACTGTGAGCCTATCTGAATGCCCAGATTTGTGGCATGAAGATTTGTGCTGAGATTCTTTTACAGATACCCTGGATAATACATGGAAAAATGTAGACAAAATGCAATGTTCTTCAGTGTAGGATCCATTTGTTGCGGTTTGGGTTAGATGCCACATTGTCCACCCCAAATATCACTTCTTTTGTCACTGGTTTTGAACCTGATCTCATCTCTAACCAAAGGATCACTTGTCAACACAAAATAAAAAAAAATGCTAGATTTAGATGGTAACTGCAGAATAGAAGGGTACACCTGTGAATCCACATCTTTATGCTGTCAGTTATGTCTAAGCCATGCCACAATTTCTGATGCCCATATTATACAATGTGCCCACATGTTGGTGCAAATAAATTATCCACTGCACTGGATTGATAAATGGGTGCAGTTGACTGGCTCACACATGCATCAAAGTCTAGCCAGGCTGAATTTCACTGAATTTTGAAATGGTTTTGCCTAGAAGAAACATGGGGTATTTTTTGTCATTTGAAAATGGCTTTACAACATTGTGATTCCTTGAAACAATGGCTTTCTAACTGCTGTGTTGGTGGTAACTGCCAAAGTTGGGATGGGACTTGTGTTGGCCACTCAAATTTACAGTGTGCATGCACTGGAGTGGTTGCAGTGATGTAACCACTGCTACACTGCATATAATATTGCAAGCTGCAATATGTGCAGTGGCATTCCAGTTTAATGCAGCACTGTTAGACAGTGTTGGCTATGTGTCTTAGGGATGTCTAAAATGTATTGGCTGCCTTGAGATGTAAAGCTGCTTAAAAGAAAAGAAAGTGGGAAAAAGATGGTCAAACCTGTAAATCAACACACTGAGATGTGTTGAGTACAATGCTAATTTCAATACTGTCAAGTTAAGCTGTCTTTTGTTTGTGAATCAAGAAATGTTTTCACATTCTATGATAATTTTAGGTGGCATTCAGACTTTTAAAACAGATAAACTGAGCATTGAAAGTGCAGCATCATAACAAAGCATAATGTCTAGGGTATGCAGTCAGTGTTACCACCTGTCATTCTCCAGACAAAGAACAAATATTATGCTCTTTGAGTATATTTAAAAAAGTCCACCCTTTTGATTGGATGGACTTCTTGGATCCCAGGCCACACCCAGCCATACTTGTGTGAGCCATGATTCCACCATCAGACCATTCAATTCTGGGACAACAGAATTTGCTGTGGATTTGCAGAATGTGCTTATAGTGAGTATCCTACTCTTTTGCAATATTCACTTATGGTTAGATCAGATGCATACAATTTTATCAGCAACTCCAGCCTTCTGGAAATCCCTCTGATTAGATCAGAATTTTGATTTGGAGCAGCTGCTCCTGTGACAGAAATCCCATTGAACCCCTTGCTTACCACAATGAACATGATGCATTTAATTTGCCTGGGGTTTTCCAACTTTTGTGTTCTGTAATGTTTGCAACTTGCTAAGTTTTCAAAAAAGTGTTATAAATGCTATAATAGCTGCAACACTCCATCTAGACAGAACAATATGGAAGCATGGAGCTATTAGTCTGTGAATTTGATGAAATGTTGTGCTATAGTTTTACTTCTCCCCTGTGACATTTTCAAAAGCAGCTCTTTTTGAGGGGTGCTTTGGCTTGGGGATGGGACATGTCACATGGACAGTCACATGGTCCATAGCAATGCACTGATTCAAACTTAACCAGTGCACCTTTCAGTAACAGGCTCTTGCTGCTCCCTGGGCCAATCACACACATTCTTTTATTCACACCAGTAGAGATGTGTGTGGCAGGTGTCATGACAATGGTCATGGTGACTGCAAAGAAGAAGCATAATGCTGTTATGAAGCATTGGCAGTGTAATTTGGACTTTAAAAATAGTTTAAATTGATATCCTTTTTATGTCTTGACTGTGCTGCAATCAGCTATTACTAGACATAACTGATCCTGAGGGCTCACTAGAGCATGTTTTTGAAATAGGCCCCAAAGATGGGACACTCCCATAAACATGTTGTAATGCTTGGTGCAGTCCAAGCTGCTCTTTAACAGTCATCCTGCCCACTGGCATTATCTGATGTCCACTGTAGGGAGACATCTGCCACAGGCAGCAGACCATGTCAGTCAGGGGAAGTTAGCAAGGGTTAAAGCAACTTGACCTGCCCTGCCACCTGTCATGTAATTGGAATGTGAGTGCTCACAGGTGTGGGGAGGAAGAGGAGCTGAACAGTGAAATATAACCTAACCTTACCTCAAATATGCCAAGAGCAGGTTTCTCTCCAGATTTGGCCCACTTTCTTTCCATAGTTGGGGGGGGGGGGGGGGGCAGAAACCCAAGTTGGGTGGGGTGGGGGGGGGGGGGGGTGGGGGGCTCAAGCCCCATCTACATAGGGAACTGCACCCCTGCATGCTCACCAACTGGGACATCAGAACAGAGTTGTGGACTTATTTTAATATTGCAGTTAAGTGCAGTGAAAATTTTCTGACCTTACCACAACATGTCAAAAATTCATGCTCATGTGATAATTCACATATATACCATTAGAAAGGTGTACATCAATTGATGAATGGCTTCCTGATGAGGGTTTTTCAATAGAGCTTGGCTTGGAAGTGTGAGCAGTAGTAGAAGTAGTAGTAGTAGAAGTAGTAGTAGTAGTAGTAGTAGTAGTAGTAGTAGTAGTAGTAGTAGTAGTAGATGAAAACATCAATCTGATGGTATCAGAGGCGTAGTTCGAAAATATCAAGAAATCGATCAGAGGTGTCCAAAAAAGAAATGGATCAGAGATGCTGTTCGAAAATGTCAAGAAATCGCCCCATGGAGTTTTAAGTGTACAATTAAGGTCATAACTGAATGATCAGTGTCATGTTGGTGGTGGCAGGCAGCGCGGCTATACGGCAGTAATCCTGACACAACCATACATATTCCTAGGTGCAGCAGTACCAAACAAAAATCACTACATTGAGATGAGGGGTACCATGAGTAAAAACGATGAGATCTAGAGTACTGTAACCTGAAAACGGTCACTGTGAAATAAGATTGGTGAAACCAGGAGATCTAAGATTTAGATTAGGTACATGAGCCGTTATCAGATGATATCCTCTGGGACTCTGCAAACATTTGTGCCCACGCCGTGCTCGTGGTGTCCCGGCTTATTCCTGAAAGTAGCTACTGCTCTTTGACCAAAAGCAATCCAATTTAGAAAATGCGTTCGCTGTGGTTTGAGCGTTTTTTAAAAGTTTCTTTACATTCCAGTTACTGTGGCATCCTCTGGCCCGAAGGTTTCAAGCGAAATTAGTCGTTACCTTTCCCACGCGATGCATACGAAGTGTTCACGCGTTTCGAGGTTTTGCTTAAACGAACGTGACATCATGTGGTCCACTCTAGCGTGTGAACAGGCGGGTAATGCAATGCAATTGAAGGTTGCAAAGTTCTTTGTAGCCTGGGTCATGTTTTGCTCCAGCACGGCTTTCATGGAGCCGGCAGGTGGCCCTTTCTGTCCCCCCTTCGCTTTCCTCGTAATCCTTTTCTTGCTCGTACCCCGAAAGTCCGGAAACCTCGCAACCTCGAAAGCCGATGAAATTGCACCTGTCTATAGCGGGCCGGTTGGGCCCATACGCTACTCATATATATATATATATATATATATATATATATATATATATATATATATATATATATATATATGCACTTCGATTTTCCTTCTTTCCATTTGTAAAATGGCTCAAATTGTGATGTTGTTGACGAAAGCAGTCAGATGTAATCGTTCCATGGAAATTACACCGACTGCTCATTTCAGGAGTTGTATCATGTCAGCACGTTCGTGTGCGGTACCTGGCCGGGTTGTCGTCACACTAGGAAGCCCCAATCACCAACCAGAATCACCGTGCAGTGGCGATAAATTCCATGTGTCATAAGCGAGACTCGTCCCAAAGTCGTCTTCCCAGACTACTCAGCGCCTGGACATGCGCCCTCTGCCAGCGAGTTTGGACCTCAGACTTTGCTTGACTAGCGGAATCCAGATCGAATCCAGCGTAATGGGCTCTGATTCAAGAATAGGTTCCATTTTGACCAGATTTGGATTCGTACTCGGATTCATCGCGTCTGTTGCTTGGCTAAGTTGAATTGGGAATTAACGCACATGCGGGTTTATCGGAGCATCAGAACTGGTGCGTGCGGCACCTATTGAAGTTTTGTTCTGCGCGCGCACGCATTCACACACTTATATGTGTTATTTACTCATATATTTTAGATACCAATTTATCTTGGTTAATTGCTACCTGCTTGTCTGGCAACCACAAAAGCTCATCCAAATTCGGAATCAGATTGAGCAATTCTGACGGCTGGATCCAGACTCAAACTCGATTTCAATTGTCAACATTCTCTTTGCATCGGATTCGGTTTCGACTCCATTCGCCTTGGTTCGGATTTGGAACAGATTCCAGTCAGCTGTGCGGCACATCACACAGTGACCGGTCAGCTGAGCGCCTGATGCGTACCGCGGACCACGTGACCCGGCCTGAAATAGCCGGCGGCGCGGCCGTGGTCGTCGGCCCTGACCCCCAAGGTCAGCTGGCCGCGGCCGTTGCCGGGCGGCCGGCCGGCCGGCCGGCCGTCGGCGCTGGCGGCGTCTGACTTCAGTGTTGTGCCGAGCCGGCTGTGAGTGGGGAGGTCGCGGCCGGCGGCGCCGCCGGGGCAAAGTCCGCGTGGCTGGCGGCCCCCGGCGTGCCACGCACGCGCTGGCCGGGGGCGTTGTGTTGGTGGGGAGGGGGTGGCGAGGGGTTGTTCATTGGAGTTTTCGGGCGCGTCGACTGCAGTGGTCATTTTGCGCCCAAGGGGTGGCGAGGGGACCAGACGGCTTTTGGCTCTTCTAAATTGATCGCCTGGGATTATTTCATAGGCAGTGGGGAACGCCTTTCGCCTGGCATCCTCGCTGGTCACCTGATACAGAAGGGTGATAGTGGCCCATGCAGTGCAGGCATATGCACAGCTGATCCAGCGTGGCCGGGTGCTCGCGTCACTGTCATGGCTGGCGCGGCTGGCTGTGGGTTTCCTCTGTGTGTGAGCGCGGCGAGTCCTGGCGTAACGTAAGCAGTGCAAAATGGGTCCGACTCGACTGGACGCGGCCAATCCGGATGTATCTGCATTATAATCTACTTTTGTAGTCCGATTGGCGGTATTTGTTTCTATTTCTCGTTCTTCTATTACGCGCTCGATTTTGTTCTCAACTTTGTTTAACACGTACCTCATGGCCAGCGAGGGGCTACCAATAGGTGTCTTCGTTGCTGCAGTGCTTTGGACCATAACGTAACGACCGAAAGCAGGGCACGCGGTGGGGGCTGGGGCATGTCTATTGTAATTGGTACAAACAGTGGGGGTTTGCACCTGTTGCACTAAAAAAGTATTGCCAAATCGTATGGGAAATATGTAACAGCTTTTTGGCTGAAAGTGGCCTTAGTTTTTCGTTGACATGACTGGTTGATGTGTTAATTTTGAAGTGGCATTTTATGGATGGTTTTAACTGAACCCCATGTGCTACGTGCAGTCGTATGCAAAGATTCGTCAAGATGGATGTTGAACCCAATGTCGTTTTTTACGACGAGAATGGTAACATACGAAAAAGCAGAAGCAGTTACATCAAGTAAGTGGCTCAGCGTTTATGGCGTGACCTACTGACAGTGTGTAAATGGCCTGCGTAATATATATATGTACATAGTCTTCTCCGATATTGACAATTGGTGTTGTTGATTGGGGCTCAAGGGCGCGGCGACTTCTAAGGTCATTTTGCGCCGTCTCCAACAGTGAGGGTGCATATATTGGATCCAATATTGAGTCACTTCGTGTGAGCCGTGCGTCGGTGCCCGTGGGTGCGGCAGTGACCGGTGACCATTGGTCGTCGGGAGAGCGGTGGCGATGAGCCGGCGCCTGCTCCGCCGCATGGCGCGGCCGTGCGTTCCGCGCTCGGCGGAGCCGTGGCCGGCGGCGGGGCAGGCTCTGGCTGGCCGTGGCCGCGCGGCCGGCGGACGCGCCCAGGCTGGCCGCCGGACTGGCGACGCTTCGGGGCTGACCGCTGCCCGCGCGCGCGAGTACGCGGGAGCGACGCATTGTGACTCGAGTCGGGCAGGCCAGAACGGCTGCCAACGACGAATGCGGACCGCGCGGCGTCGCTGGAGCAGCGGCCGCCTGACCGACCGCTGCCAATTCGGGTCGCGGGGCGACTAGAGGTCATCACGCGGTCCTTTGTCCTCTGGCCAGGCCGCTGCCAACGTCGCACACAGTGGCGGCGGTTCGCCTAAAGGTTGCCGTTCGTTTAATCAGGCTTCGTCATGCCCTCCGCCGTCGTAAATAATCGGCAGACCAGAACTCCGGCCCATGACACCTGAGCTCGCCTCCTAAGGTGTCAAGGCACCTGGAAGTGGGAGTGAGTTAGCTCACTTGGGAGGACGTGCGCTTCGCAGCCGTAAGTTGTGAGGGTTTGTCCGACTCCCTGTCGAGGGTTTCACCGCCCCCACCCCACCTCGCTGACATCGAGTTAGATTTTGACGCTTAATGACGGGAGCTGTTGAGTGCGTCACATTGGTCGTCAAGAGTTATATCACAATGCCTAGAGAGGTCATCTGGAATGCCTATAGAGGTCATCCGGGCCCCAGTCACGCCGGTCACGCATGACACCGCCGGTTGAAATGATGGCTGTATTTTGCTTATGGGGCTGGGATATGCTTCCTTTAATCACGTCTTCTAATTGGGCTCTCTGAGCTCAGTTGTGATCGCCGCGGCTCGTTTGAAGACGAAGATGCCCCATGTTAGTGACTACGCTACAGGATTTCAGCACATATGGCACATACTGCACATTACGGCACGCGTATCTCGGAGGTGCTGCGTTAAATACGATGCATTTACAGCACATGCGCAAATAAATGCTACCTCTGGAGCCCGGCTGTACCATGATTGGCTTTGCGGGTTGGGAAAATTTACTCTTAGCTGATTTTTGAAAGGAGGTGAGGTTTGCAAAGCGTTGCGGTAACTGTTTGGTCCAACTGGTCTAATGGGTTTTGTGGCCAGCCGGAGCTTTCTCTGTGTGATCGAATAATTTTACAGCATTGCCATGACTTATTGGGTGACTTACGTTTGCGATTTGGTAGATAATGACCCATTCTGACCCAATCGATGACATGCAGGTGCGATTCAATCGCTTACACACGTAAAGACCACGATTTTTCGGTGCCGTCGCATATTGGCGTGCATCGCTCGGGTGGTGCTTACGGGTCATCGTGATTGGTCGGTGGCGTGTACGGGTCGCCGTGATTGGTCGATGGCGTGTGCGAGTCGCCGTGATTAGTCGGTGACGTGTACGGGTCGCCGTGATTGGTCGGTGGCGTGTACGGGTCGCCATGATTGATTGATGGCGTGTACGGGTCGCCGTGATTGGTCGGTAGCGTGCAGACGACGACGTGCCGGGTCACCGGTGGATCGGGCCCTGTGCTGGGCACCGGCACGATGGCGGGCGGAGTGGCTCGATCGCCTCGATCGTGCTCCTGCCGGGGCTTCCCCGCACCAGGGTCATCGATTGGGCGCTCGCCCACGTCGGTGGCCGGCAGCTGACTGGGCAGTGGGGGGGGGGGGGGGGGGGCGTCGGTCGCCCTGGAGACGAGGCCGGAGCGGCCCTCCTGGATACGGGCCTTGCGCCTCACTCGCCGCCGTTCGCCACCCGCCGTGACGTGGCGCTCATGCGGGTCAGGTGGCGGCGGTGCCCTACGGTGTGATGACCTTCGCAGTTCTCCCGCACCACACTCCGCGTCCTCGACATGTCTCTGCCGCTCTGCGTGCATGCCTGTCTGTGGGACTGAGTCAGTGGCGCGTGAAGAGAGGGGGTCAGATGACTGAGGCCCCAACGAACTGACAATTTAATGTTGCCTATTTGAGTATTGACTGAAAAGAAGTAATTTAAAATGGCGATGCTGTCCTCCCTCAAGTTGATAGAATTTCCTTCGCCTCTGCACACGATCGATTGCCTTCGCTCTCCGTGTCAGTTTCTGTTTGACTCATGCCTGGGCGGATCAGTGGCCTAGAGGCTGCAACACATGACTCGTTAAAGGTTGTCATGTGGAATCCGTAGCCCATTTGCCGTCTCGACCGACAGACGCCAATTGAGCTGTGATATGTGCACGGATAAAACAAATTCACTGCTTGCCAAACTGGAGTGGGCACATCAGCATTTCACATTTCTTGTTCTGAGGCGGGGGCTAACGGAAAGTGGAATTTAACCTGGCGCGTGTGTTTTTTTTTTTAGCGGGTGAGTGTTCGTTAGTCCCTGATGCTGCCTTCAATAGTAGTGATTACGAGTCTGGTTTGCATACATGCTTGACAAGCAGGTATAGGTTGAGAAGTGATGGACCTTCAGTGATGTTGACATGGCGGTGATGAGGACCTTCAGTGATGTTGACAGGCCGGTGAAGTCCAGGTCATCCAGAGCTGCGCAGGGGCTGGGTGACTTAAGCGCCAGCCTTTAGTTTACCTTTAACCACTGGTCAGGCGCTACGTCCAGGGCAATGATGCTCGGATACCTGTTCAGAATCTGCCTGGCAAGTGTGTTCCGCATCTGAGTCTGAACTGACTTGTCTACCATCTGTGGTTGGTTAGCCCCTTAGTGAGTGTGTGTGGGGGGGGGGGGGGGGGGGGCGGGGCGAACGTAGCCCCCAAAATATGGAAAGTTGTGCCGTTTGGAGACAGCCTTTTCGTGATTTAGCTGGAATATGGAGATGCCGAGAGAGTCGCCGGGTGTGGGGGAGCGAGGCTACTTTGAGGCGATTGAAAGCGCCTGTGCCGCCGTCGTCAGTTACCCGGGGTGGTATAACCTGACATTACAAATTATACTGGTCCTTCCCATGGACGGCATAGGGGCCAGGCACGCAGCGCAGTCTTCCTCTGCTCGGGGAAATGCCATCTTTTGCAAACTCCTGTGCAGCTTGACCGAACTCCGCGAAATTACCCAGTATCTAGCGTAAACATCCTGCTCGGGGCGGGGGCATGGTCCCATTCCCTTAGCTACGTCCTGCCTAAGACCCGCAAGACCGCCAGGGATGATAGAATCGGGGGATCAGAATCTGTGAAATCACTTGCCAGGAAACTTGGCACAGCTTAAAGGGAATGTTTCACACCTGGAGACATTGAACCAAGCGTCAATTAAGATGAAAAGGTTTACTTAAAACTGTTTGTATACTTTATGGAAATTGCTGCTCTAGACAACACCATTTCCTTCTTTGGTAAATATGCTCCGCAATGCGTCGGTGTTTGATTGCGTCATCGTACCTTGCACAACATTGAGCGAGGCCAGCTAACGTCCGTTATGCCTGGAAACGTGCTCACCAACGCGAGATATGAACGACATGACAGTTATATTTTTCTTGACCTTGACCGGCGCATGGGCGGTGGAATGACAGGATATCAGTGACGTTTTTTAACTGTCATGCATTGCAAGTTCATCTTGAAATACTCCCCCGCAATTACTCTTTCACATCTTTGAAGCCTTTAAGGTCAGGAACCAGAGGGTTATAGGTCTTAAACAGGGCATGACCCTGAACTGCATCAAAGGCCTTCATTATGACTATTTCAGCTCAAAACCTCATACAAATGTGACACTCCCTTTAGTGGTAAGTATTTGCCTCAAAAGTAAATCTGGCCATTTTGAAACGTTCGTACGGTCCTGCCATTCGCGAGTTATTGGTGTAAGACATTGGACCAACGTGTCATGCCCACCACCCCCGAACCGCCAAACTACAACAAACGCTGTGCAAAAAACCTTTCGTTGTTGCACACAGTTATGGTTAAGTGGTGTTTTCCTCCAAGTCAGTACATATAGCACATGAGTTATTGCGTCATGAACGTTGACCCAAGTAAAGGCATTGCTTTTGGCAGCAGAGTGTGCCCGTGGACCTGCGTGTTGGACATGGGTCGCCGTGCGTCGGCGTGCTTCGAAAGCGTCGCCCGGGCGACGGTGCGCGAGCGGCCGGTCATTTGTCGACGGCTGCGTGTGTCGGCTGGCGCGGCGCCCGCCCGTATCGACCGGTCAGCGGCGGCCGCCGGCGCACCTGACGCCCGACGGCCACCGCTGACCGACGCGCCGGGGCACGGTCGCCACCTCCTCGGACCATGGCACTGCGATGAGGGCGCGCCGTTCCGGCCCTCGCTGCATGGGTCTGGCGTGCAGCGGTCCATAATTCATCCGGTTGGGTGTCCAGGGTGTAAATGTAAAGTCACGCCACCAGAATCCCGGCTCCCCCGTGGCCTCCGCACGCGATTCGTGGGCGCTGATCCGTTGCCCTTTGACCTCGAACTCGGACATTTGACCTGTGCGACCCACTTGTCAAGCCTGAGGCGATTACACGCGGGTTTATCCGCCATCCTGCCCGTTGCTGAGTGACCGATTTTGAGCGAGTGAATGGCAACAGGCAGCAGGCCTTAAACCGGGGGTGTTATAGTGTGAATCGACATGCTTGGCACGCCATTGACCGAATGTTGAAACGTTTCTGGCGTGTCGAGCCACTACCTTGCTCTGTCGCTAGCAGCCGGTGGGGGCCGCAGGCCCCTCCGCAAAGGCCGTTGCCGCGCATCTGGTTCGCCCGGGTCACGTGAGCATGGTGTGGGCGGCTCGTGTTCGGCGGATCTGGCCGCCAGCCGGCGAATAATCCGGCGGAGATCCCCTCCCCCCGGCGCTCGGGTCCACTGGCCGCGCGGGCACCATATTGCGACGGTCTGCAGGCGGCCTGACTCGGTGTTGCTAGCCCTGCGCTTACATAAGGCAGTACAAGACGTGCCCTGGGCTCTGTGCACGCCACGGGCTTGGTAGTGGTCAATAATTGATCACGGAAATGCACCGCGTGCTCGGCCAGGTTGGCAGAGATGCCCCCAGAGACTCCTCCTGGCCATTGGCAGAGGCGTATGACCGTATACAGTTCTGTGTCTAGCTAATCGATGTGCATTTATATGTGTCGATGGGAGTCTCTTGGTAAATCAGGGAATTAAGGTCGTGTCCAGATTATCGCCAGCCATATCTGATCACCAGCAGTGCTGTGTCGGCCAGCTGCCTCAGCGGATGTGCTGGGCCGCCTGGTGGGCCCAGTCTGACCCGGCTCTCCTCTGTTTCAGCATGAGCATGCCCCACTACAGCGTCCACGTGGGGGCAGCGCGGCAGCACTGGGTTTGATGCCCCCCATGCCGCCAGAACTGTGTCTTGTAACGAAGAGGGCAGCGGCGTGGGGAAATCTACAGAGCCCTTTCTGCCAAATCAGCTAGTGAGTTCGACGCGCCGTGGCGGCCAGCTGTGTTTGTGACGGCGGCCCGGCCGAGGCGCCTTGTCATCGCCGGGTGTCTTGCGTCACCCGTCTGCGGCTCCCCTATTGCCTGTCGGGTCCGGCCGATGTCTCGTGACCGATCAGCACGGTGGGCTGGCGGCCCGCGCGTCGCCACCGCCGTCTGCTCGGACGGCGCGGTGGTCGATGGAGCGAGCCGTGGACGTGGCGGCTGGCTTTGAGAAGTCGCTGTTTGGCTGTACTGGAATGTGGCCGCGTCTCCTGCAGCTGGCTGCACAGTTCTTGTCGGTGGTCCGGCTGCTGGCAGCCTTGAGGCGATGTATGACGGCGGCTCCCATCTGTTATTGGCCGAGATCGGCACGGTCTGTGCAATGAGCTGCTGGTCTCCAGTGGTCGTGCTGCACAGTAGGCCAGATTGTCTTCAAAACGGCCAATATTTGAGTGGGACGTCCAAAAAGGGCCATGCCATTTCTCCGTATGCTGTTTTATGCGCTGAGTCCGATTGCTTGGAACTATTTTGTCGTGCGGGGAACAGAAAACCCGGGAAAAGGATGAAATGAGTGGAAAAACTCGGTAATAACATCCGGTACTGGTGTTGGTCGGTATTCTCAATTGGAGCCATAAAACAAAAATCAGTGAATTGCTTGCCATGAAGGAGTATCACTGGAAGTCAGCTTTAAGGGTCTCATGATTAATTCACTAACCTTCTAGGTCGAGGCATTGCCCCGAGTTTTGGGAGAAAGGTTAAATGTACGTTTGAACAGCAGCAGAGCGAAAACCTGAATGCGTTGAGACATTGGATGACCGCTAGAGAGTTATGCAAAGTTTTACGACAACATGTTCTAAGCTCAGTGGTATGCCAAACATAATTTGTAGTGAATTTATGTCTGGTTAGTCAAGTTTGGCGGCACGCCTGGGTGCCGTGGAAGTTTTTGATAGGGCATACCAAACTAAAAAATGCTCCCCAAGTTCAGATTCTACGACGTGAAATATTTCAGATGTAGCACAATACAAGAAAGTCTGCGTAAGGCAACAGTGGTCCGTGACCTCGGTTGATTTAAAAAAGGCCTCTTCCTTGTAGACAAAGTAATGTTTTCAGACTGCACCTGCTCTTGCAACAGTTCTCGTCTTAAATTGGCGTTATCTGTTGCAGATCGTGAGGTTTTACAACCTACGATTTTTAGCCATTTTGAACTCCCCTCTCACAAGTTACGCGCCGGCCAAGTTATGCGAACACCCTACCCTGGTTACGCTGTGTCCCTTCTGCCCGCTACTGAGCTGGAGGTGCGTAACAAAGCCGGGCATTTCGCTTGTCATGAGAGGAATCCGACTGTATCTGGCTATAAGGTTGGGTTTAGGGTTAGATTAGCTTTGGTTCAGGTAATTGTCATTTTCAGTCAGTTTAGTAGATAGGCTGTAGTAGTATAAAAGTCTCGCCGCGTACGTAGGTCTAAGTAACTACGTCAGACCTGGTTCCAATTTGTTGCCGGATAGCTACAATTACCTTGACGTGCCACAAAAACGTTTTAAAGCTGTCAGATGTAGTTTTGATGGCACCTTCATTTGTTCAATAAACTCGGAGAACTCTCCTTTCATCATGGTCCATGGGATTGCGCCCTCGAACAACTTTAAAGCACTGCTGAATCAGGAACTTAGATTGCCTGCATACGCACAGATCGACAGAGTCGACGCGCATGCGGGGCACCGGCCATAGAGGATCGTATCGTCCGAACAGCGTCACGCCACCGAGCTGAAGGCGCGTACTGGTGCACTGGACCACCTCTTTCCCCGGTCACCCGAGTCCGCCCTTGTGGCGTGGAAGTTGCGACCCCGCTGGGCGGTGGCTGGACACCCACAGCACGCAGACGAGATGCCCCGGCCGCCTCAGCGCCTGGCCTCAGCTGACCGCGGTCAGCCCGGCGCCCGCAACACCACGCGTAACACCCTCAAGTGGAATTGGCTCAAGCATGTGCAACTTTTGTCCTCATTTACTCGATTCAGCACCACTTTTTAGTGTCGTTGGTGCAAAATCTCCCCGGGATTCGATGGATTTTTTTTAGCTCAACATTTATTACTGGTAGCCATTTTATAAATTGCCAGTTAACACCATCGACATATATTGCTAAAATTTTAGTTGCAAGCATTCTTCTCGCAGCCACCATGAGTAAGAAGACCCAAGGAATGTCTTGATCCGTGGTGCTATCGCTTTTTAATGTCACGTTTGGATTTGGAGATCATGCGTTCCAGAAAGATTTTGTCGTAAATTAAAAAGAGCATTACTATCCAACGCGCTGCTATTTGTCTGCATTATTCTAGGTTAGGAATTTTAAAATAAACCTGACTTTGTGATCAGATCGCTGTTTTGATCGTGACCTGGCGCATTGTTGCTGCCAGTGCAGCGCCGCTGCGACCGTGATAGGGGTACTCAGCGTGTTATCGCCTATCTCACGTTTGCTCAGTGTGCTATCGCCCATCTCACTGAGGCCGCTTTTTAGTACATAATCGAGCGATCGTCACGATTGCACGATGATTTCCTCCCTCTTACCTTTGATTGTCAATCAGGGTCTAATGCCGGGAACGCGTTCTTGTCTAAAAGACGTACCGATCCACGTTTTAGCTAAGTCGATACACTCCCCGACAACCGTCAAGTCCTGACCGTAGAAGGATCTGTTAGCACAGTTTTGTGTTGTTCCTTGAAAGTTGCACAACATCCACGTTGGCTCTGCACGCGTGATGTTTTCGTCTTGAACGGCCTGCGGGCGGTGACAAGTCTCTGACGGTTTAAGAGCCATGACCTTTTGTGTGACGTTCTGTGTGACCTGGAGGACCGTTATGCGCATGCACACCTGGAGCGACTCTCTCCCAATGTGACGCCCCGAATTCAGACATAACTCTTCGACGTCTGCTACAACCGTCGGAAGGTGACGTAATGCCGGCTTTGACGCCCATTTGGGTCTGTTACGTGCTGGCGTGGTTGTGCGGTGTTGCTATGGCGACGGGTCCAAAAAACTGGCGCCCTATTGATCTCCGCACAACCGAAGACACCAAAGGGCGGCCGCCGCTGCCGGCTGCGGGCCACAAGTGCTAGGGCCGTCCGACCAGCCCCACCGGGCGTGGCAACGTCTTCGCGCGTTAAGTCGCGCGCGCTTTCCCGAAGATGTCGCGTCAACAACGCAAATGCGCGCCCGCCGGGGCCGGTGCGATCCAGAATGGTCCGGCCATGCCGTGTCACCGCCGTTTTGAGAGGTTGTGCGGCGTGCGTCATCACGCGATCCTCCCACGGGGTGCCGACGATGCCAGTGATACCGGCGCTCGAGACCTGGAATGTCAGCTGGCTCATGAGATATTACGCCGGGCTGTCACGTCATGTGCAACAGATGCTTCGTTTAGACGTACGAGGTGTACGATTCGCTAGGTTAAAAAAAAACGCCACTCGGTGTTTGTGCGATTTCATTTAAAATGTTGGATTCGCTGGGTTGGCGGAAATGCAACGTGCTCAGCCCTGATTCAACTGTTTTCTCGTTCGAATTTTCGTTGCGTAATTGTAAGTACAGCGTGGACCGGAAAACAGGGGTGCAGACGCATACCAAGAAATGAAGGATCGCACTTTAAATGCATTCGTGTCGTAAATTCTCCCAAGAGAGTCGGGACGGCAAACGCAAGATTTCACCAAGTTTGAGGGGCCACTGCCCCTTCCCCGCCCTCTGCACCCGACACCCTCGCCCTTGCGGGAGTGACGATTGATGTAGTCTTACCGAGCATTCTGATGGGTCGTACTGGGCAATATTCAGCCAGCCCGCACTACCGAAAGCTCGATGAGCTTGACCTTCTATACATTCAAAGTTTATGTTCGCGCGTAAAGCCCCCCACCGTCGCCATGAGTCCTGCCTCTGGATAGCTTGACCTTTTAACACCGCGATAGAATTGTCTAGCTGTATGCCGATGTACGATGTCGTACGATGTACGATGTCGCCCTGAGCCGCCGGAGCCCAGCTGACCTGGGTGTGTGACGGCCCTGGAGCTGAACGGTCGCACCGCCCGTCGCCGTGCGGCGCCGCCCGCATCCGGGCCTGGTACTGACGCTACCCCGGCGGACCTGTGCGGCAGGAGAATGAATTGGCAAACATCGACGAAAGCCAGCCCGTCAGGATCAGCATCACCATGACCCTGACGACGACGCTGAACGCGCGCTGGGAGACCGTTCTCTGGCGGCAGCGTCTCTATGTGCAGGTGCCCAATGGGCTCCTGCCAGACGGCTCCAAGGAGGGGTAAGCGACCACATGCCGCCCGCCCCTCGGCGCCGGGCGCGGCCCAGTGGGCGCGGCCCGGCGGCGTGGGGAATGGGGCGGGACGTCTTCGGGGTGGCGTTCCGTGCTGACAGGATGTCAGATAGTCAAAGCAAGCTGCATATTCGTGTAATGTTCTTACGTTTGTGTGTCACGGGTGTTTATGCGATCCTTTTGTATCGCGTTGTGGACATTTGCGTCACTCCTTACATTGTACAGTTTCCTCGCTCCGAGCGCATCCGCTGATGCGGGGTGTCGCAGGTGAAGACACGCGCTACGTTGTTGACATCGCGCTATCTTAACTTATCAGTCATGAAGAGACCAGTTGTCATGATCCATCAATTCCTAAGCAATCAGCGTAGACCCAGTAGGTACTCCACTGAGTTTGTGTCCCAAATGCGATGGCCCCTCTAATCCCGCGAATTCGTGGAATCAGTGTCGGTGGGGAGGGGGACACCCAGCTGATTGGGCCGGCTGCTGATTCGAGTCCAGTGATCGACTCTAACGGAGAGGCTCTGTCCTCTGCACTGTATCCTGGCCGGTCTGCGGACCTTGTCCTCTGCACTCTATCCTGGCCGGTCTGCAGACCTTGTGCTCCGTGTTGTGTCCTGGCCAGTGTGCAGGCTCTGTCCTCTGTGCTGTGTCTTGGCCGGTCTGCAGGCTCTGTCTTCTGTGCTTTGTTCTGGCCGATCTGCAGGCTCTGTCCTCTGTGCCGTGTCCTAGCCGATCTGCAGGCTCTGTCCTCTGCACTCTATCCTGGCCGGTCTGCAGACCTTGTGCTCCGTGTTGTGTCCTGGCCAGTGTGCAGGCTCTGTCCTCTGTGCTGTGTCTTGGCCGGTCTGCAGGCTCTGTCTTCTGTGCTTTGTTCTGGCCGATCTGCAGGCTCTGTCCTCTGTGCCGTGTCCTAGCCGATCTGCAGGCTCTGTCCTCTATGCTGTGTCCTGGGCGATCTGCAGGCCGATCTGTGTTTGGACTGGTCCACGCGCCTTTGGATGTTTGTATGTGTGGGGAGCGGATGGACTGGTTCACATCCAGAGTATTAGTGTTTGTGTGGGTGCGTGTGTGTTTCGACTGGCGAAGGCGACGCTTTCCGCGATTGGAACTAGGAAACTGCGTCTTTCGGAGGCCTTGTAACAGATACCCATAACCGTACGATAAACATACATCGATGAGCAGATCAGACACGGCAGTCGTGCTGCTGGTCCAACAAGCCCTACCAATGACACATTTCGCGGCGTCTCACTTGTGCAGTGATAACACACGCAGGGGTTACCGCGTGAACGGTACGAACACGTGAGCTGAAGGAGTTAGACGCATTCCTACATCACGCCGCATGTAAAGTCTCCTTTTGGAAGTCCGACTTACGACGATGAGGCTTACGGGGCTCCACGTGGAAGTCTTCTCACGACAGTTCGCCAAGTGAGATGGCCTGGACAGTGACTGGCTTGGGCTTGGCCAGGTCACGGCCATGTCAGTCGACTAAATCACGAGTTTCATGACATACGGCTGGGGCGATTGTGAGCAAAGTTATCGCAGACAACACATGTTTTATAGTGGTCACGGTGGCTCCCGCCTGTGTATTTGGGCCGGTCTCCCCGCTTCGGCCATGGCTTCTGAAGGCTAGCCCTTAAAAAGGCAGTTGTCTTCGCTCGGACAGATTGCTGGTTTCGCCATGGGTCGGAGGCCGTTGAGATCGCTTTGTGGTTTGCATTTTTGAGGCGATGCATTCGCTTTTAACCACATGTGCCCGGTGCTGAATCTAAGTTCCTGACCCCCTTCATGGAAACGGACGCATCGATCTTGGTTCCGACTGGTTCTTCCACAGACACTAGGCCCTGATTTCTGGATCCCTTCGGTTGTTTCACGTGGTCCAAAGCGGCCATGCAAATACCAAGCGTTACTCAGGACAGCTTGAAGCAATTACGCTTCGTGTTGCTGAAAACATCACACAGCTGCAATCAGTGGGTGCAAAGATGCAGGTTATAGAGGCTGTGACAGCTGTGGTTTGTCGAGTCATGCCGGGTCGTTCGAGTGAACATATGGTGGCGGTTCGAGCAGCACTTGCTCGGGGTGGTACGGTAAGACAGCACAGCGCCAGTCAAGGAGGTCCGGACACTGTCGCGGGCACGTCGCGCGCTGAGTCGAGCCTCTCCCCGCCCGCCTCCCGCTCTCAGAGAGCCGCCCCAGTCGAGCGGCCGACATCACAGGCTCGTGACGACCTTCGGTGACGTGTAGCCGCGCTGCCGGCCGCGACTGCGACGTTGGCCTGGCGCGGCCGGCGCCCGGCCAAGCGCGGTCACTCCAGGCGGAAATAGCCGGCGGTCGGCGCGCGCGCTCGCCGCCGCGACTGCGCAGTACCGCGGTCACCGTGTTGTCGCGCCGGGACGGTTATCGCGGCGGCCCTGATCTGTGTGGCGCAGCGACGGCGACCGGCGGACGCCGCTGACACCGCGGTCTGGCGGCTGTCCTGGCTGGGTCACGGCCAACCGACGTGGCTGGGCCGCGGCCGGTTTGTTGATCGTTGTGGGGGTCAGTGCGGCGGTGCTGGCGGAAAAGAACGGCACTTCCGCTTGCGCTGGCCTATTAAGCTCAGATGTAGTAGAGTGCTGGTGGAAAATTGGCGCAGTGACGAACGTCGGCCGTCGGTGAAATCAATATGTCCCTTTGTCCCTGACGCACAGGCGCAGACCCATTGTCACCGCCGTCTGCTGACGTGGGGTGTTGCAATCAATTCCCGCCGCTCCACCCCACCCTCCCCTCTACCCGCCGCCCTTCTCGACCGTTCGACGTTGTCATTGTGGCGGACGGTGGCAGTGAGGGCCGGGTGCCCAGCGTGCTGTTTACACGTATGGCGTCGCCTGGGACAGTTGGCCACTTGCCAGAGCGTTCGCCGAACCTCCGCGTCATCTCGTCGATCAACGCCCGGCTACCGCAACGCCACCTATATGAGATGACGTCACGTTTTCTAGCGTTTTCAAGCGTTTGTGTAGTGACGCGATGGCCAGCCTTTACCGTGCGATACGCCAGTATTCAAAGTTTGCTTTCAGAGCTGATTGTCGCCCAAAACTATAGCTGCTGCGTTCCAGTTAGTCAGCTGCGTGATACTTAACCTGTTCTAGAAAACAACGCGCGTGTGCTACATGTTTATCTCATTTTTGCAATTCGCGTTGACCCCGGTTTACTTCGCGTTTATTGCTTCCTTTGAATGTCCATTTCCTACACAATTTACACCCGATCGACCATACCTATCACATTCATCATGAGTTTTACTCTGATCCATGTACTTCGCCGTCTCAGAACGTTGAATAACAGTGCGACGGTGGCCGGCAGCCCCGCCGACCTGATGACCTCAGGTCAATAGGTCTTCCTCCATGTTCTCCCGTGACCTCCCGTGTCATGCCTCGTGTCGCGTTCCGCCGGCAGATTCGTGTCCCTTCTGGAGTTCGCCGAAGAGACGCTGCAGGCCAGCCACGTGATCGTCAGCCTGAGGAAGGACCGGCCGGACCGCGCCGGCCTGGTGCGCACCTTCATGTTCCTCGGCTTCGCGCCCATCCCGCCGGGAAGCGACATCATCCCGGCCAGTGGCGACCAGGACAACCTCTACCTGGCCTACGCCATCGAGTAGCGGCGCGCGCGTGACGAGCGGCGGCGCCGCGCGCCGGCCGCGCCGCCGCCGCCGCGCCGCCGCGGCGCGCGCCGTCCGGCTCGCATGACGGGACCGCGCGTCCCCGAGGCTGGGGCCGGGCGGCGCGCGCGCGGCGGCCGGCGACGGCGGCGCGGCCGGCGGGCGCGCCCGCCCCAGCGGTGTTCGGCGTCGGCAGGCCCGCCGACGGCTGTCGATTCGGCCTCTGGTCGACTGTGCAGTGTACCAGTGTGGGGTTCCCCTCGGTGCGCCAACGGGCGGAGGGCGGTGGGCGCGAGCGGTGGCATCGGGGCCGCCTGGTGGCCTGCAGCCGGCCGGCCTGGTGCGACGGGACCCTGACTGGGCGGACTGCTCCAGTCCAGTCTTGTCCCGTGTCGTCCAGTGTAATCCGGCTGAACGGAACAGGTCACTGGTCTTGTCTAATGTCATGACGGTCTGGTCTGGTTAGCTCGTAACTGAGCGAGTCCAGTCAGATCCAGTCTGGTCTGGTCTGGTCTGTTCTGGTTTGCTCAGCATGGTCTTGCCTGCTCCAGCCCTGCCTGGTCCGGCTAGGCCGTCGCTGGCGGCCGTCAGACAGCTCCGACGCTCCTGCCCGCCCCCCTCCGTCGGTTGTGCTGTCATCCGGTTAGATTACAAAGTTCTTTAGACACTATATAACCAAGAAAACCACAAAAATATAAAAGAAAAAACTTGGGAATGGCCTGCACCCGTGGTGATGGGACAGGCTGGAACCAGCTAAAAAAATCCGTATCACATCGGTGGTTTGGTCCATCCCATTCCATGTATTTTGCCCTGTGTTATCTCGTGGGTTCACTTTGGGCGGGACCGCTTACTTGCAGAAGGAAGCTTGCTTTTGTTTGGTATGTTAGCGACCGACATCTTCTCGCTCTATTTTATCTTCTGTAATAGTTGTCTTACGAATGTGTCACGTTATGAGCACGACTCCAATACAAAATTAGATAAATGATGGTGTCTCTGTACCGGTGGAATACCCCAGCATCTATTGTTCGAGACGTTTGTGTGTCCCATGGGCACTGACTGTCGGCCACGGCGAGCAGCTCACTGTGGAGGGGTAACACTGCCTCTGGAAACGTCCAAGATGGAAGCCGAACAGGCGAACGGCTGCTGGCATGTATGCTGCACAAAACAGCCGTGCAGATAACGGCCATCGGGATTGCGTCGATGCGCGCGAGGCAGGCAACACCAACATTTCGCGGTCACACATATCTTCCTTCTCATAATGCACTTGAACGAGGCGCTGGCACGCACAAGCGAAATATAGTCATGCTCAGGATGAATAGTTAATTTATAGAGTGGACAGACATGAAACTTTCATTCATGAACGGATCGAAAACTTCGGAGATCGGTTTAACGTGCTCGGAAAAAGCACCGCTGTCGGCGATATGACAATAATTCGCGCTGTTTTCATGGGCGACCCCGTCCGATCCAAGTGACAGCCAACCGGACTGCCTCCTTTCCAACCAGAATGGTGAAAAACCAAGCTTTCTTGGCATATTTGGAAACAGCGGGCGTATGGCACGCAGCCATTGCTGCGCCAGATTCCATGTTTGACATTCCATGAACATTGTCGATAATTACTGGCTCATGCCGTGTCCAACCACACCCACACCCGTTGTTCCACACCCGTCGAGCTTGACGTGTTTGGAAACTTCCTTGTTCTTCCACCAAACGTTTGCTTGTCGCGGGACGCTGCGCTTCGTTCCGCAACGGAACGAACCTCGCCCGATCTTGTTTATTTGACTTCAAGCGCTGATATTCAAAGTTAGATGATGTCCATGCTCATGCCTCACGAGAGACGGGACATGAGAATGCTTGTCAGGAACGCTGAAGTGCTGCCGATTTGTGCAATTCGCGGTATACATTGCCGGGAATTTGCTTAACCCTTCTCTAATACATCCAGAGCATATTTCTTGTCGTGGCGCGTCTGTGACAAGATTGGGGAGCCGGGCCAAGGCCATCAGTTATATTTTGGGGCATGTTTATTGCAGGGGCGGGGCGGAGCTGGTGCGGTTAAACCAGCCAAATTTCGGTAAGTCATGCTGGAATCGATTACTTTGTGAATGTGTGGGTCATGGTTGAGTGATCTGGAGGGCATAAAAGCATGACTGGAATATCGATGGGTCGACCCGGAGAAATAACAATTTGCTCGTTTTTTCTGATGTTAGTTATGCCATATGTCTGCTGCATGTGTGGTTCTCGGATATTCATTCGTTTTGTAATGACAAAAGATGCCTTATGTAAGTTTGCAAACTCCTTAATATTTGCCAGTTTTGGCCTATGCCTCTGAAATGCACCCCATTTGAACCAATGGTGGAATTGAGGAACATCTCAGTCTGCAGAAGGTGCATCTGCTGTGCTGGATGCCCACATATCGGTGTGCGGAATCTCCCATTAGATGCACTGAACTCAGGCCAGGCCAAGTTGTGCTGAAGTTTTGAAGTTATGTTTTGTGAAAAATGTTGTTGGGAGCATATCTACTTGAAATTACTGTTACAATGACACAATTCCATGAAGCACTGTATTTCCATGCACTGAAATTGCTGGCAGCCAGGGGCTGAAATCTGAACTCTGTACAGATTTATGGCATACATGCTTTGATATTATTGCAGTGAAGTCACTGCTAAACCAGACATGTCAGCATAACATTCATTTTTTACAGCCTGGGTCACATACCCCTAAAGTCACAATCACTCAACCAAAAGTGGGCTCTGACAGCTTCTCTTCTATTTTCATTCAAATGAATATTTTTGTTCAGAGCCAGAATCCATTTTACCAGATGGAATCAGGCACAGGGTAACATTCACCATAAATTATAGGGAAGATTTAAGTGTTTGAAAAGTTGTTGAGATAGGCACCACATGGCCAGGACAGTCTGTGCTTCCTTAAGCCCAAAATCAACATCCCCATCACAAGCTGTTGATCTTGATCTTTAAAGTTGTCCCAGATGTTTTGCATAGTTTGCACTCAGTGGATATGTTAGCTACAATTTTTGCTTGTACCTTGGACCCACCATCCAAATGCAGTTACTCTTTTCCAGACTTGTGCCTGATTTTATTCAGGCTCAGAATCAGGTTGGTAACTGCCAAAACTTCCCAGGAATTGCTGGTGACAATCAAGGTTTTGGGCAGGCCAGCATCTATGATCATTTGTGCTTCCTCATGAGTGAAGTTTGATTTGAATCCCCAGTTTTTAACATAATACATGATTTGGTGTTGTTGGATTCTTTCAGCCTAAATCACTTGCATCAGTGTGCTGAAAAAACTATGATGAGCATAGGAGTTGTAAATACTGCTAAAAACTCAGAGCATCAAGATTTTAATGATTTGCTTATATGAGCTATTTTTGTTAGAACATTTGAAAGCTGGGTTCATTAAAATTATGATTTGAGTCTCAATTATTTTGATTCAATATGTAACTGATTGATGAACAGTTGAATAATGCAAAAGTTCTCTTCATTCAAATAGGCAAGTCTGCCTCCTGTTCTTTTACCAGGCAGGATCCTGACATGATCCTGTTTATGTCATGTAATGCTGTGTCATGGCAGCCCTGTACCAGGTTTGCCAGGTGGCCAGTTACCAGCTAAATGCCATGCATGGATTCTGGTCAAGCTGATTGCTCTTTTTCCCTCTAGAACTGTAACAAAAGGTATATGAGCCAACCACATTTGTGCAAATGTGTATCTACCTGATTGCCACAGTCACAGTAGCTGAGTGACAACATTGGTTTGCCAGTTAGGTGGAAAGATGAGCATATCAGATTGTTTAAAAGTCCTGTTAATAATCTTGATCTTCCCATGGTAAACAGGCCAGTTAGTGCTATCATAATTTCCACACATAAGTCAATATATGTCTGCTACAAAGATGGAAAAAAACTGGGCATCTGGGAACTGAGGCTGATATGATGCCAGGACAATGGCATAATGCCAGATATGAAGTGGAAGCCACTGGCTTTGGAGCTTGAAACTGCAGAGCCAAAGCTGAAACTAGTGGCTCCTGATTTTGTAGACACAAAGCCCACGTAGTCAGATGCTTCAGAATTACGAAACACAAAGGTAGACCCATCATTTAAAGAACACCAGGCCGAAGCCAAAGCCAAATTTGGTCTATGATGTTGTTTGGTAGAACCAAAAACAGTTTTGCACCTGCTCAGACTTTTGAGAATGAGAGAATGAAAGGTTTTGTTAAGTGGGACAAGATGTTGGCATTACAATATATATTTTTTAAAGTACGGTCTCTGTCTTGTGTGTTGGTAGGCATGTGTAAGCCCTTATTATTTTGTCCCTGCAGATCATCTGGAGAGGGTGGTCAACTATAGCTTGTAGCCATGGCAACCTTAGATGTCACCCAGGACGACGTAGTGAAGCCATCTGTGCTGAATCTGGCCGACGAGTCATCCATGGTCGAGGAAGTCAGCAGTGCTCCATATGTAAGAATGCTGTTTGCAGCAATGGTCGCTATGATGAGTGCCCATCTGGGATTCCACACAATCCAGTGAATGCATAGTTACATGGTGCTAGTTTGGTTACTGCGATTTTAAACATGTTAATCCAGGGTGAGGCTACGTGTTGGTCCACTGAGGCGCTGGCGGTACGAGACGAGGCTTACCTCAAAGTTTTGTATACCGAAGACCCAGCTGAGCGCGCTGCTGGCACCCAGTTGGTTGCATGACGTGAAAGAATGTTGCGCATTCTGGAACCGTTTATTTTACTTGCCAACCCTGAGCTTGTGTTGGTGTTAACATTTATTCGCGTTCAAATAAGAGCATGCAATAAATTTGATACGGGGACGTTTTCCGGGGCTTATGTGTGTGCACGCGTTGTACTTATCCCACCATTCGGGTAAGCTTTAACATGCAGGGCGTACTGTGAGACAAGTCAAGGAAAGTTGAAAGATGTCTCTTGGTATACAGCTGCAATATCTGAAAGTGACCATTGCTTATACACGCGTCATTATGTGACCTTTTATAGGTTTCATTAGATGAGCACGTCTGAATTCGGAAAGTTATTTTCTTCATTGGTACGCTGCGAACGCGGTCCTAATGCTTCTCGAGTGTGATCAAAGATGGTACTTTCTTCAGAGCATCTTGGATGGCCTGGTTTTATGCATTCTAGAGGGATGTGACTGCGTTCCAGATTGCAACGCCGTCGGTAGCGAGCGTCTCCTGGGATGACCTGGATCCCACTGACAACCGTGACCTTCAGATCAAGGTGGACGACCCGCAGAAACATGTCACAAGCTTGGAGACCTACATCACTTTCCGCATATCCACTAAGGTATTTACTATTTATTATATTTTTACTTTTTATTGTATTATTATATTATTATGGCTGTTATATGACTGGAGGTGCGAAGTGTATTGTTGGCCAGGGGATATGTCAGCAAGCACGTTAACGATCCGGTTGATGCGATGCTCATGCAATATTGTGCAAATTCTCGCACCATTTTCGAAGAATTAACTCATATTTTAGGATCAGTGTTGGACGGTTCATGACCACCGCTTGCCCCACTGGCATTCCCATTGGTCGTAATGGCCATGCATGTGCAATACGTCCGTAAGCGAATGTGCCTGCCATGGTGGCTGCTATGTTATAAGTGAGTACTGCTTGCGCCGCCGCCCTTGGCTAGTAAGTCTGTAGGTACACTCCATCCACGGCACTGTAACGCACTCCACCCACTGACACGGCCCCGCGTCGGCAGACGTCCCGTGCCGAGTTTGACGACAGCGAGTACTGCGTGCGCCGGCGCTACAACGACTTTCTGTGGCTGCGGGCCCGCCTCACCGAGGCGTACCCCACCCACATCGTGCCGGTGAGTGCGCCGCCGTCGCCACGCGGGTCAAGTCTCGCGAGTCGACGCTCTCGGGCCGTAGTCTCGTCCTTCGCCGCGCGTGCTCGTGGGCAACCGGCCGTCCGTGTCTGCCGCTGTGGCTGCGGCGGCCGCACCGCCGACACGCGCTCGGGAGGCTCCCTTGCTGCACACGGCCGGGGTCTCCGACAGGCCTCCAGGCCCAGGGACCGGGGTCCGTCGGGTGTGATGCGGGCCTAAGGAGAGGCCGCGCTTCATCTACTTCGTGAGCGTTACCGCAATAGGAGCATGTCGCATTTTATTCCAATTGTCGCCCAGCCATTCGCCCAACGTCCGTCCCAAATATCGCACTACGTTCGGTTTTGTGAGAACGAACACTGCCACCAATTTACTCTTATGATTCAGTTTTGCTTGTTGGTCATGAAGTATAAGTAAAAGAAACAATTAAACAGCGTTTTGATACAATTCGCCGTGTTTTCCTCCTGCAGTGGGTCATGAAAATGAATTACAAGTGGATAGACAACAATCTGGCATCGTATACATGACGTCTCATCTAAATTAGTGTACAGTAACCGTTGCCTGCGATAATAAAGACAAACCACTGACCCGGCCATCTGTGGACCCTGTCAGCCGCTGCCGGAGAAGCACAGCCTGCTGGGCCAGCTGGACCGGTACCAGCGCGACTTCATCCGCTCCCGGATGGCGCTGCTGCACCGCTTCATGAACCGCGTGGCCGACCATCCCGTGCTCAGCTGCCACGCCAGCTTCAAGCTGTTCGTCACATCCAAACCGGCTGTGAGTGTGCCAAGCGGTCCCGACGACTGCCCCCCCCCCCCCATCGTCTGCTTTTGGTATGTCGACGTGTCGGGGGGTGTATGCTCGCCGCGGCGAAACGATGGCTTCTGTGTAACCTTGGGCACGTGCTGCCCAATATTGACCGACACCTGTTCACCAGATTGGCCGGCGTATGGTTCGAGATACCCGTTGGATGTTTGTCGACGGGCCCCTATCGCTGTGTTCGCGGCCGGGTGTCCCGGTATCCGCGAAGTGTGGTCCCTGCGTGTGCGTCGCGTTTGCCCGCCACCGCAAGCTCCTGTCCCCTCCCCGCGTGGGTTCGCTCCTGTGCGTTTTGTCCGTGGGACTGTTTTTGTTCGCATGTGTTTGCATGACGTGTCTTGGGGCGCTCGTCTTTATTACTTGCAGGGCGTCTGTCTCCCTAAGCACGTGAACCGTTTGTCCCGTGTCCGCGCCTCCGCCCGGTCACGTCTGCGTGTCCGGCCGGGTGTCCACGGCCTTCGTGTCCGGCCGCGTGTCCGCAGTCCTTGTGTCCACGCGGCCGTCGGCGCTGACCGCGGCGCGCCGGCCGCGCAGGAGTTCGCCGTGCACAAGAGCCGCGGTCGAGGCGTGCTGGGCCGCGTCTCCGAGTCGCTGCAGGGCCTGACGACGGGCGGCGTGCAGGCGCGCTCGCCCGAGATCCAGCGCGTGCTCGAGTACGCCGAGAAGCTGGGCGACAAGCTGACTGTGCTCGAGCGCGCCAGCGGCCGCATCCACAAGGACAAGACGGGTAACAGCCGGCGCCGCCCCGGAAAGACGGCCAGCACCTCGGATAACATGCCGTGCGCTTAGTCTGCTATTGGTCGCGCCGAAACTGTGGAGACGTTCGTGTCGGGGCTCCGTGATTGCGGCGTCCTCAAATGCGTTTGTGGTAGCGTCCCATCACCACTGTGGTTCTTCCTTTAGTGCGCTTATTTCACTCAGTGTCATTTCTTGTGAACGAAGTCATTTGTTATCCTGAGTTTCGCTTTGAGGTATCCAGTAAGGTTTTCCAGAGCAGTTGTGTGTCATGCTTGATAAACCCCCAGGAAGGTAGTGCCATCACACATGCTCTTAGTCGTGCCCTTTTCTGCGTGAGCACGTTTACGTCTGGTGCTGTTAGGAATGGCCTAACATTAACTATTGGCTTGTCATTTTATGACCTTCTTCATGCTCGCAAAAAGGCGAGAAATCCAACGTCAGATTGCTTCTAAGGAAAATCGGCGAGCACCGAGGGAAAGAGTGGGCGACAGCTGGCTTCAAACAGTCGTAAACCTTCAGAACTGATGCTTCAGTCGCACTGTTTGAGTCCTGGAGCCGGAGGGAGCTAAATGTCTGTTTCCAAACTTTGCCGCGATAGCTAGCAAACTTCTGTAATCTATCGGAATCAGACCTTTGGCTGAGGAAGCCAAATTAGCGAAACAGGGTACCATTAGCCAGGCAGCGGCTGTGGCGCATAAGTAATACTTCCGGTGTCGGAGGCGTGTAGCTGCGATTGCATCCGCTGGTGAATTGTGAATAAGTATTGTAACGCTAGCGTTGCCAAGATGTATCTTCAAACAGTTATGCCACGTAGCAAGTGACGGAAATCTAACCGGTAACTTTTTATGCGTACATGAACGTCCCCGACTCAGTTCTATTCCCTTGCGGTATCGTTTACGCGATTAGTCAATGTCGGGGGAGCCTATCAATACATCCTTGGTTGTGCTTAGAGCTTAGAGCTAGAGCTTAGTTGTGCCGCGGTGTTCAATGTGTGACTAGGGCCGCCCGATGTGTGCCCATATCTTTGTCGTTACTGACGCCCAATCCTCTACTTTTGTGGTGACGCGCTTATTTACGGTAAGCGCACAGATTTTCTCGTACACGTATTTCGTCCTATGTAATTTATCTTTTGCATTGGTGGAGCACCTTATTTCTTCCATTTCTTCCATTGGCCCTTTATGTCTTCCTCCACACTGAAGCTGTTGTGCCATACGAGCTGGCAGTTCGGAATCCCCACTCCCTCCATTTGGCGCACCGTAACGCACCTTGCAGTCGCCTCGTCCCGGCCGCACGTCTACCACCTGACCTGCTGACCTCTGCTGACCCCGTCGCGCCCCGCCGCGGTCGGCAGAGATGACCGGCGAGCTGGAGCGGCTGCACCCGACGCTGACGCTGATGGCGGCCGCGGAGCCGGAGCTGGGGCCGCTGCTGCGCGCCGCCGCCGGCGCCGTGCGTCGCTGCGCCGCCGCCCAGCAGGCCGTGACTGACGCGCAGCCGGCCCAGCTGGCGCAGCCGCTGCGCGAGTACGTGCTGTACGCCGAGGCCATCCGCGAGGCGCTCGGCCGCCGCGACGCCGTGCAGGCCCAGTTCGAGAGCACGGCGGCCGAGATCCAGCGCAAGGAGGCGGAGCGCGCGCAGGTGGGGGCGGCGCGCGGCCACGGGCGCTGCCGCTGTTGGCGTGTTTGTATGCGTGTTGATAGGGGACTGCCCGCGCGTGAGAGTGGGCCGCCGCCGCGATGACGAGGCTGGGGCAGTGGGCTGGGCCGCTTCTGGTGGCCTCTGTTGCGACACGCCCCTGCGGCCTCTGGCTGGCGCTGGTCCAGTCCCGCATGCCGGGTGACATGTGCGGTCTCGAACGACACCGTTGTGGTTATCCGTTGTGGTTATCCGCCGAGAGCTGGGGTCGGACATGCCAGACGAACACCTTCACCGTCCGGCGCGTCATCATCACGCTCAGGTGAACACCGACGAGTCAGCTCGCGCCTCGCCCCCACCGCCAGGTGAACGCCGGCCATGCGCCCTCGGGCCTCAGCTGGATGTTCAGCCGCGCCACCCCGGAGACGCTGCGGGCCGAGGAGGAGCGGCTCGGCCGCCAGCTGCACCAGCTCAAGCTCGAGCTCGAGGTGCGACCCGCGCGCCGGCGCAGACTGGACCGGTGCGGGTGGGGAGGGCGGGCGGGCGGGCAGTGCCGCCGCGGGGCACGCTGGAAGCGCGCTGTCGCGGCGTCCGGTCTGAGTTCAGCTCTCGGGGAGTTGGCGCGGCCCGGGGCTGGACTGCGGCGTACTAGCGCGGTGTGGCATTGACGACTGACAGTCCCTCTGCCGCGTGCGCAGGCGCTCAACGACCGCCTGGAGTGCGCCAACTCAAACCTGCTGGCCGACATGGAGCGCTGGGAGAAGCTGAAGCAGCGCGACATCAGCCAGCTGCTCGGCACCATGGGCGACACGCAAGTCCACTACTTCGAGGAGGTTCGTCGCGCCGCCCGGCCATCATGTGACAGTAGCCCTGGTCAGATGAGCAGTGTCATGTATGCATGATGGTCGCCATTTTGCTTTACGTGGGTTGAGCACTTTCAGGGCGTGTGCTGCTATTTGATTGGGTGCGGGTAGGTTTGGGTACGGGTGTCCGGCCGAAGTTGTCCATCCGTCGCCGTTCTCGCCCGCCAGGATGTCCTGGCCGTGAATCTGTTCCGTATCAGATCGTCTGAGTCGTACCGCAGTGTTATCCCCGTCTCAGTGTCCGGTCCGTGCTTCAGTCTCGTCCCCGACTCAGTGTCCCGTCCATGTCGCAGTGTCGTCCCCGTCTCAGTGCCCGGTCCGTGTTCCAGTCTCGTCCCCGTCTCAGTGTCCGGTCCGTGTTCCAGTCTCGTCCCCGTCTCAGTGTCCGGTCCGTGCTCCAGTGTCGTCCCCGTCTCAGTGTCCGGTCAGTGCCGCAGCGTCGTCCCCGTCTCAGTGCCCGGTCCGTGTTCCAGTCTCGTCCCCGTCTCAGTGTCCGGTCCGTGCTCCAGTGTCGTCCCCGTCTCAGTGTCCGGTCCGTGCCGCAGTCTCGTCCCCGTCTCAGTGTCCGGTCCGTGTCCAGTCTCGTCCCCGTCTCAGTGTCCGGTCCGTGCTCCAGTCTCGTCCCCGTCTCAGTGTCCGGTCCGTGTTCCAGTCTCGTCCCCGTCTCAGTGTCCGGTCCGTGCTCCAGTGTCGTCCCCGTCTCAGTGTCCGGTCCGTGCTCCAGTGTCGTCCCCGTCTCAGTGTCCGGTCCGTGCTCCAGCTCGTCCCCGTCTCAGTGTCCGGTCCGTGTTCCAGTCTCGTCCCCGTCTCAGTGTCCGGTCCGTGTCCAGTCTCGTCCCCGTCTCAGTGTCCGGTCCGTGCCGCAGCGTCGTCCCCGTCTCAGTGCCCGGTCCGTGAGCCAGTCTCGTCCCCGTCTCAGTGTCGGTCCGTGTTCCAGTCTCGCCCCGTCTCAGTGTCCGGTCCGTGCTCCAGTCTCGTCCCCGTCTCAGTGTCCGGTCCGTGTTCCAGTCTCGTCCACGTTTCGGTGGCCGGTTCGTGCCGCGGCGTCGTCCCCGTCTCAATGTTCGGTCCATACCGCAGTGTCGTCCCCGTCTCGGTGTCCAGTCCGTGCCGCAGCGTCGTCCTCGTCTCAGTGTCCGGTCCGTGCCGCAGTGTCTCGCCTCCTGGGAGTCGGCGCTGGCGACGTGCGAGGCCGCCGGCGACTCGCCGCGATCCCTAGTCAACTGACGTCCCGGGCCGCCTCGGACGGCCCGCTGCCGGGTCGCCGCCGGCCCGTCCGGCGCACCACGCTGCTCGCCTTCAGTGTCCCGCTATTTATTCGGACGTAACCAGCGTGCAGCCCGTGCGTATGCACATTCCACGCGCGCCATGATAGGCCGGGTAGAGTAGCGCTGCCGCCGCGCGCAGGCAAATCGCTGCGAACGTGGGAGTACCGGCCTCGTGCTACAGGCCCCAGGCGAGGGGACGTGGCCGTCAGACGGACGCCCCGGCAGGACTGTGGCAGGGACGCGGGCAGCCCCCCTCCGCATGGCTCCTGCCGCGGTTCTGCGTACTGCCGGGCGCCGAGCGGCGGGTTTTGGGGACCTATATCCGTATATTTTCGTCTGATATCTGAATGTCAGGTCGGGGGGGGGGGGGGGGCAGATGTGTCGGTGAGGTTAAGCACGCGCCGCGGAGACACTGGGTGCCGCCCGCAGCCGCGCAGCCTGGCCCACGCGCCATCGCTGCCGCGAGCGCCAGAGTTCCCGCACCGTGCGTCGCTTCACGTGGTGGCGTGTTCTTTGGAGGCGCTCGTTGTAACCTGAGCGCGGTGATGCTTACTCTGTTCTTCTCGGGCACTCCTCGGAGGCTGTGTATTCACGGCTTAGCTTTCGCCTCAAATTCCATCGGACGTGATTGTTGTATTTGCTTTCTGTTGTGTAGCACGTACAAAATATTTGTGTTTGCATGCTATGATCTCTTACCCCACACCGTTAAATAAATTTGTTGGTCTGCAAAGGCGTTATTGGGTGCTATGATAAAGGCTCGTGCAATAATTCACGAAAGCACCATCCCACAGTCGCCGTAACTGAGCATACATTACGAAACCCGATCCGCCGGGCTTCCACCACTAAAACTAATCTTAAGTGATATCTCGCACACCCACAACGGCACGTAAATTTTCTGAAAAAAAGAACTGTCAACATGGCGCCCGAGCGGCGCCTCGCGCGCACGCGCGCCCGGAGGCGCTCATACAGAGACGCTAGAAACAAAGCATGTACAGGGCGCGCTCAGAACGCCAGAGTTGGAGCCCACACCTCAGAGAAGTCTGCGGGTGGCTGGCGGCCGGCGGCGCGGGCCGCCAGCCCCCATTTTCGCCGGCCTGTTGCCGCTCGCGCTCTCGCTCGCTCGCTCAGCCTCGGTGCCGGGGGGCCGCGGCGCCCGACACTCGGCAGTCCATCACAGAGTGAGTCCGCTCCACCGCGCCCGGCCGTCACTGGAAGGCCGGGAAGAATGGCGGCCGTGGCTGCGGCGGCGACTGCGGTCCCAGCGCGAATCCGCCTGGCGACGGACCTGCCGGCAACGGGGTCTCTCTGTCACGGGTCAAGGGCCGAACATCATGGGGTCTCTCGGTCACGGGCCGCCCACGTCTCTCAGTCACGGGCCAACCATGACGGGGTCTCTGTCACGAACTGGCCATGACGGGGTCTCTCGGCCACGGGCTGAGGGCGACAGGGTCTCTCGGCCACGGGCCGACCATGACGGGGTCTCTCGGTCACGGGCTGACGGCCACGGGGTCTCGCTGTCACGGGCTGACGACGACGGGGTCTCTCGGCCACGGGGTCTCTCGGTCACGGGCTGACGGCCACGGGGTCTTGCTGTCACGGGCTGACGACGACGGGGTCTCTCGGCCACGGACTGATGGCCACGGGGTCTCTCGGTCACGGGCTGAAGGCGACGGGGCCTCTCTGTCACGGGCTGACGGCCACGGGGCCTCTCTGTCACGGGCTGACGACGACGGGGTCTCTCGGTCACGGGCTGACAGCGACGGGGTCTCTCGGCCACGGGCTGACGGCCACGGGCTGACGGCCACGGGGTCTCTCGGCCACGGGCTGACGTCGACAGGGTCTCGGTCACGGGCTGACGGCGACAGCCACACAGGAGAAGGCGGCCGACGGAGGCCGCTTCGATGCACCGCCGCTTTCCTCGCTTCCAAGACAAGGTGACAAATCCGACGAAGATAACACTACTGGCCACAAACACCGGGATTTCAGGATTAAAAAACCCTAACGCAGTAACAAAAAGCAAGCATCCGTATCGGACAGTTGTACGTCGGTTGAAGTAACATAGAGCCTAACCACAGTCCACTAAAGGAATGCGTCATTTAAAGCACTTGAGCTGTCCGTGCAAAGGTCTAGGGAATATCACACTGACCAAACATACACGTCACGCCGCCACACATGAAATGATGCAAATTTGTGCCGCAGCGCCGACCCTACCCAGGCGTCGTCTGCTTGCCCCCCCCCCCCCCCCCCTGTCGCTGTGCGACGCGCGCCCGGCCGCACCTGGCCGGAAGAGCGGCGCGCCAGGGGCGGCCGTCGGCGAGCTGAGCATGGGCGGCGCCGGTCGGAGCGGTGCCGCCGGGCCGCCCATCAGCTGGTTCATCGACGGCTGGGCGGCGCGCGCCGGCCGGCCCGACCCCGTCAGGCTGTCCAGGCTGATGTTGACGCCCTTGACGCCCGACCACGTGGAGCCCTGCCGGCCGGCGAGCCGTCACCCTCCGGCCCGCACGGCAGCCGGCGCGACGGTCCTGGCCGCGCTCTTCTCCACATTAGCCAGGGGACAGCGCCGGGCGATCATACGCAAACACACTTCTGACTTGCTGTGCGAAATGCACGTCGGGTGGAAGATATAGCGTACCCGGCTTAACAAATACCAAACGGGAATCTGGATATGATGTGCCATCCCTAAGCCGGATAACAACAACGAGGCCGTTAAATGCACGGTGCAAAGTACAGTGCATGCATCGAAGTGTAGGACTTTGTCCACACCAAACAACCGCCCGAGCAAACTCCCGTGATATTATGCCCAGTTGACGAGTCACAGTCCACAAGTTTCGCCGGCGGGGCGTTACGTCACGAGACAGGCGTCCAGCCGCCCCGTCAGCCGCAGCACGGCGCCAGCGGTGGGTGCCACGGTCTGACCGCAGACCGAGCGGGCGTCACCAGCGCTCTGGCTGGCGGCCGACGGACTGACCACGCTCTGGCTCTGCTGTGCGGCCGCCGCCGCCGTGGTGGCCGCCGTCTGCGGCATCAGCGACGCTGCTGGCGCGGCGGCGGCGGACGGCGCCGGCGTCAGCGGGCTGCCGAGCAGGTCCAGACCTGCCGCAGACAGGAGCGAACGTCAGCACGCCGCACTGAGACGGGGGCGCCGGCGTCAGCTGGGGCGGGGCCGCTTCGCTGGGGCCCCCAGACAGCCAGCGGCCAATCGGCTGCTGGTGGCGGATGTTGCGCCGGGCCAGCGCTGGCTGGCGGCCACCCGGCAAAACCCGGACGCGGGTCAATACGGGCCGACCCCAGCAGTGGTGGTGTGGCGCTGCTCATCGACGGAGGCGTCACACGGTCAACTCCGGGGCTCACAAACTGCTGTTGTCAATCGGGGCTCTACGACATCATCAGCTGCCGAGGCTATATGGCGTCACCTGCTCTCACATCGGCTAGAAGAGCGGGCACCACGGAGATTCGAACCTCGCATCCCTGGTTTCCCAGACGCGCAACTTAACCACTAGTGTCGGTGCGCGGCTCGCAAAGCGCAGACCCGCACCACAGCACAGCAGCCAGAGCACCTGTACCGTGTAGCCGACACGTCCTGAGCGCAGCGAGCATCATTCGTAACATGCCTATCCAGCAAAACGGATTGTAACACAGCACACTTTCTATTGAGATAATATGAAATGGACAGGCGTTTGCGCTACGCTTCCGTGCATGATTCTTGCATAGGAAGCTGGAAGTTTTCCATAAGCTCGCGCAAACTCACCGATAACAACGATCTTATCGTCGTGAGACCTTCTTTATAACCTGTCCGCGCACAAACGAAGCAATTCAATCACGGTACAAGCATTGATCACATGCTTTATTCTCGGATCAACGAAACATAACACAGTATGGTGACTCGAAGCATACAATGGTCCGACGCTCCAGTCCGATGAGTCCCCAAACTTCGCCATTTCCTTCAGCTTCCAGCGGCTGAGACAAGGCACCGGACCGGCCGGGACGCCGGCGTCCGTCAGCCGCGAACACAGCGGCCGCTCGCCATCTCACGTCGCTCCCACCAACAGCTCCGCCACCTCCCGCAGCGTGTGCTGGACCAGCGCCGCCGCCTGCTGCGCCATCTCCCGGGCGTCGCGGGCACTGTCACTGCCGGCCGCTGCCTGCAGGGTGTCGAGCGCGGTCGCCAGTTCGGCGCGCAAGTGTGCCACACTGGCGGCGCCAGCCGAGGCCAGCGTTACGGCCAGCAGCAGGTGCGCTGCCGCGCGCACAGCCGGCTCGGCGTGAGCCGCTAGCGCCCAGTCCAGCTGGAGGGCCGCCTCGGCCATGCGGGAGGCGGCGGGCGCGCCGGCGCCGGCGCAGCTCGCCACCACGGCCAGCGTGCGCAGCAGCTGCGCCAGCAGCAGCGGCTCGCCGCCGGCCAGGTCTAGGCCCGGCGCGCGCCGATCATACGAGCGCAGCAGTGGGAAGAAGAACGCGCCGCTGACGGCAGCGAACCGGTTAGCGGCGGCGGCGGGCGTGCGCGCTGCCGAGCCCAGGCGACGCGAGCGCGCCTGCAGTCGATCGTTGATCACGACCGACCAGTGCGCGGAGAGCCCACCGCCGCCGCCGCCGCCAGCCGGGCTCGCGGGCGCCTCCAGTTTGGAGAGCTGGCGCGCCGCCTCCGCCAACGCGTCCAGCATCTCGACCCGCTGCAAGATGGCGTAGTTCCTGGCGTAGAACTCGCCGGCCAGGTAGGCGGCGGCCGGCTCGGGCGCTGCCACCACGGCGGCCGCCATCGCGTCGGCGCGCATCTGGTCGAAGCCGGCCAGGCTGAAGCGGTCGGTGGCGTGCAGTAGCGCGCGCAGGAGCTCCACGGCCAGCGGGCCGTCGCGCGGCCCCAGCTGGCGGCGAATGAGCGGAGCGGCCGCCGCCAGTGCCGCCGCCGCCCGCTGCCAGTCCTCCGCCTCCAGCAGCGCCTCGGGCAGGTCACGTGCGTAAACGGGCCGCGCCGTCGCCGACTGTGGCGCGTCGTTCGACAAGTCGAACGGCTCCAGGTCATCGTCGCTGTCGAGTTCCGGCACCGTTGTAGTTGGGGTCGGGGTCGGGGTCGGGGTCGGGGTCGGGGTCGGGGTCGGGGTCGAGGTCGAGGTCGAGGTCGAGGTCGAGGTTGAGGTCGAGGTCGGGGTCGAGGTTGAGGTCGGGGCCAGCGGCGCGGCGGACGAGCTCGCCACTCCACGGGACACCGCCGCCACGGCCGACGTCTTCCCGCGATCGTCGGCCCCCGCCCGCCTCGCCTCCGTCATCTCGCGCACGAAGTCATCATAGCTGGGGGCGGCGGGCGCCTCGTCAGCCGGCGGCTCCGGCTCGGCGGCGGCCCGCTCCAGCTGTTCCACCTCGGCGGTGCGTTCGTACTCGATCTGCAGCGGCGGCAGCTCGGCCGCCAGCCGCGCCGTCAGCAGACGCGCGGCGCACACGCCCAGCTGGCGCAGCCGGCCGCTGGCGCTCTCCAGGTGCGCCGGCACGCCCTCCATCAGCAGCGGCAGCGCGCGCGCCCGCGCCGCAGCCACCTGCGCGGCCGGCAGCCGGCAGCCGGCCTGCCACGGCCACCTGACTCAGATAGAGGTGGCGCTCGGGCGTGGTGTGGCGCAGCGCACTGCCGTCGGCCCACACGGCCAGCGCCGAGCACAGCAGCTCCAGCAGCTGGTCGGGCGCCGCCGCCGCCAGGTACCCGGCCAGATTGCGAGCGGCGGTCGCGTCCAGAATGCGGAACAGCGCCAGTTTGGTGGTGAGGAGGCGCGCGTGGCGGGGGCTGGCGGTCAGCTGACGGCCGCAGAGGTGCTCCAGCTGCTCAGGTCGCGCCGCGCCGAGCAGTGCCGCCTCCAGCAGCAGCTCAGCGGCCCGGTCGGCCAGCGCGGCGACAAAGCGCGCCGACACGCGGCGCCACAGGAAGTCACCGGCCGTGTAGTGCAGGAGGGCGGCCAGCACGCGCGCCAGCGCCGGCTGCGCCAGGCCGGCGCGGCAGGCCTGGCTGAGCAGCCGCGCCGCTGGCGCCACCGTCGCCTCACTCTCGTGCGCCAGCGCCTCGCGCACCAGCCACAACGTCCAGAGCACGTGTCGGCCGACGTGGGCGGAGAACGCGGCCGAGCCAAGCCCCGGCGGCGTCTGCAGCTGCAGCCGGTTGGCAAGCCGATCGGGCGCGGCACAGAGCAGGCGGCAGAAGTCGGCGGCGCGCTCCTCCTCCTCCCGCCCGGCCACGCTCAACCAAGCCAGCATCAGCGGCACGGCGTCGCCGGCCAGCAGCATCTGCAGCCAGCGCAGCGCCTCGTCGCGCCGCTGGCTCGGCTCCAGCTCCTCCACGGCGTCCAGCAGCGCGCGCAGCGTGCCGTCGGCAGGGCCGCGCTCCAGCAGCTCCTCCAGCGTGGCGCGCTGCTCGGCCGACGGCCAGCCGGGCCGGACGCGGCCCAGCAGCGCGCTCACGGCCTCGGGCCAGTGCAGGCGCAGGAAGGCGGCGGCGGCCGGCGGCGGCGCATCCCAGCCCGCCAGCCGCTGCGGGCTGACCGGGCCCGGCAGCCAGGCGGCCAGCTCCGCCGGCCCACGGCCCGTCTTCAGCCGCTGCTGCAGCAGGCGCAGCTGCTCGGCCGCGGCCGCCGCTGCAACACACAGACGGCCGCTGCTCAGGCGGGCTGCACCGCCACCGCCGCCGCCACCGGCCGCGCTCGTCGGCCCGGCGAGGCACGCTTTGGCGAGGTCTTGACGATACGCGACAGGCGGCCGACGGACGACAACGGATGAGACGCGATCGACGAAGCCGTCCTCTTGAGTGCTTTGGCCGCTTCGCAAGATTGGCTTCTCAGTGCGTCCACCACTCAATGCCTAAGTTCCACATAGACAGCATACAACTAACTGAGTGCTGGCTAGCACCGATACCACTGGCCAGCACTCAACGTCGCGACCGTAGCGTGTGACGGTAGCAGAGAATGATCGCCGCTGGCACTGAGCGCTCGCAGTGTACCCAATCTGCGGGTCAACACCCCAGCCGGGTCCATACAATGTGGGGGCGAAGCTTCAGAAACGTGCCGTTTCTGCGGTCGGAAATGCAGCGCCTTCATGTTCAGAGTCCGGATTTAAGACAAACAGCACGAGGATATCCAAAAGGTGGTATCACACCAAAAACACAAACGAAGCTCAGTGCACTGCTACATCAGCCGATCACCGCCAAATTAAACACGGCAGCCAGGCGGCGCGTCTGCAGGCAGTCAACAGCTGCCGCAGACGGCGTGGGCGCTCACCGGCAAGAGAAGAGGGCGCGTGCGGCTGCGCGACCGGCGATCCGAACAGGTCGAGAGAGGGCTGCTGCGCCTGGGGCGCCATCAGCGGCGCGCCCGCCGGCGCCGGCGCCGGCGGGCCCAGGGTCAGGCCCATCAGCAGGCTCGAGTTATCCTGCGGTGGTGCCGCCGCCGCCGCCGCCGCCGGCGCGTCTACGAGGGCACACAGACTCTACTGATGCGGGTGCAGGCGCAAGGCGTGCAGACACTGTACATTGCTGCCGGCCGGAGACGAAGCGAGAGCAAACGGTGTGGTGCAGTCACGAAAAGTACCGTGCAAACTATTATTTAGGATGTAAGATAATACAGCAACAGAACGACTATAGCGACGTGGGGGCAGTGTGCTCGGGATTTTAGGTGATTCCGCAGTGACAACAGAACGGCGCACGCGACAGCCCCCCCCCCCCCCCCTCCCGCAGGCAAGACCGTGAGGGGGGGGGGGGAGAACCAGGCGGCAAGCAGGCCGCTAAGGGTCCAGAGACGCGAAGGCTAGCCAGGCAGGCGGCCGTTGCCGGATCTGGGAGGTATCAGCTGATCAGACGGGATACCTCTCCGGGGTCTGGGAGGTACCAACTGATCAGACGGGATACTGTCACAGGATATGGGAGGTACCAACTGATCAGACAAGACACCGCTGCGGGATGCGGGAGGTACCAGCTGATCTGACAGGATACCGCTGCCGGGTCTTGGAGGTACCAGCTGATCAGGCGGGATACCGCTGCAGGGTCTGGGAGGTACCAAATGATCGGACAGGATACCGCTGTAGGATCCGGGAGGTACCAGCTGATCACACGGGATACTGCTGCCGGGTCTGGGAGGTACCGCATCAGACGGAATACCGCTCAGGGGTCTGGGAGGTACCAGCTGATCACACGGGATACTGCTGCAGGATCCGGGAGGTACCAGCTGATCAGACGGGATACTGCTGCAGGATCCGGAAGGTACCAGCTGATCAGACGGGATACCGGTGCCGGATCTGGGAAGTACCAGCTGATCAGACAGGATACTGCTGTAGGATCTGGGAGGTACCAGCTGATCAGACGGGATACTGCTGCAGGATCCGGGAGGTATCAGCTGATCAGACGGGATACCGCCGTGGATTGCGGAGCGCGTCGCCTGGCCAAAGAGCAGTGACTGGAGAGCACGGAGCGGCGAGGACACGGTGGACTGAGAGCAGCGCCTCGACTTCGGGGCATCTGTGAGGATGGCTTATGCATGCGACGGCGGATGGATGTAGGCAGACGCAGGGGACTGGGGAGGAATAGGGAGAACCGGTACGTTTTGCAGGGACTGAACAGTGACGGGAAGGGCTGAACTGCCTACTGGTGACTACCCGGCGCGGCAGGTTCAGCGCGACGGCCTCAGGACGGACTGTGTGAGGCCCGCACAGCGTCGGAGTGGGCCCGAGACAGAGCGGGGAGGCGGCGGACCAGAGCGAGGAGGCGTGAGAGCTGGCAGAGCAGAGCGGAGGAGGCGCGAGGGAGACAGCGGAGCAGAGCAGGTGGGGTAGCGGGGCAGAGCGGGGGAGAGCGGGGGAGAGTGGGGGAGAGCGGAGGGGGCGTGAGGGAGGCGACGGAACAGAGCGGGGAGGCGTGAGAGCTGGCAGAGCAGAGCGGAGGAGGCGCGAGGGAGACAGCGGAGCAGAGCAGGTGAGGTAGCGGGGCAGAGCGGGGGAGAGCGGGGAGGCGTGAGGGAAGCGGCGGAACAGAGCGGGGAAGCGGCGGGGACCAAGACGTCCAACGGGAACCTCACATGCCCAGCGGCAATACTCACGGCTCAGGCCTCCGAGCAGGTCCTGCGGCGGGGTAAGAGCTGTGGGCGCGGCGTTCGACCGGCTCCCGGGCGGTGCCGGCAGCGGCGCGCTGCCGCCGCCACCGCCGCCGCCGCCGAACGCGCTGGCGAAGTCGGCGAACCCGTCCGAGCCGGGCCTGCGGCGACGGACGGCCGCGGTCAGGTCAGGTCAGGTCAGGTCAGGGGGACAGCGGCGCGGTCTTCAGTCGACACGGGCACGACTGACGCTGGCTGAACTGAGTTTAGTGAATAGCGAATCGGTACGCTGCCCAGCTGTAACTCTAGCGTCCTGCAGCCTGGAAATTCGGCTGCCGGTTAAATGGTAGCAACATGCGACTACAGTAAGACAAAGTGACAATGCGGGAGCCCCGCTGAAGACGAAGCATATCCCTGTCAGGCGTCACGTGCCCTTTTGCGGCCGCATGTTCCCAACGCACTAGCAGGTAGTCCACCCCCTGCCTGCACGGACTGGGAGCCTCGCCCACACCCCGGCTGTCGTCCATCCGTCCCGGCTCACTGGGCAGAGGCTGACGGCGGCGGCGCGGCGACGAACTGGCTGAACTGGCCGCCGGCGCGTCCGGCCGAGCCGCCGTCGCCGGCGCGCGGGTTGAAGTCGTCGCCGTCGGAGCCGCCGAACAGGTCGTCCAGCAGCTCCGGCTTCTGACCGGCGTCCGTCTGCCGGAGGTGTCCCGGTCAGCGCGGCGGCCGAGCGGCGTCAGACGGGCTAGACTCCAGGCCATACAGGTCACACGGAGCGGCGGAGATGGCCGTGGTCTGCACGCGGCAGCAACGTTCGACGGTCATCCCGTGTGTCGTTGTCCCATGAATGAACCGTATCATAGCCTGGGCAACAGCGACATTGTCTCCTCAAAAAGAACCACAAAATGCTGTCAAAATACAACCATACACGGCCCGCTGGACGCACCGCTCTACATATCATCTGAAACTAATCATTTTCGGCCTACAACAGGTGTCATACGGGTGTCCGCGGCTGGCTCGCGACGCGACCCGTACCTTGGCCTGTGCTGCGGCCGTCTTGGCGGGCTTGGCAGTGGCGGCGGCGCCGCGGCGCGCCTTGACCGGCGCCGGCGACGTGTCGGAGAACTGGCGGGCGCGCACCTCCGGGTCCGAGTCGTCCGGCTCTCCCAGACTGCCGGCGAGGCGAGGCGTCACCGGGGCCGGAGCTCGGAGCTCGGGGCACATGGCAGGCCCCGGCGCCGGCCCTGGACGCCGCTCGCTGACGGCGGGCTCGGCTCGACTCTACTGAACAGTACAATGACCATAGCGCGGCCCGTACGGAATCCTCGCACAGCACGTGATCAACCCGGCACGCTCCCGTTCCCTCTCACTACCACCATTACGCAACGGTTAGATTACGAGGCAATTCCGCTCGACCAGCAAGCCCTGAGTCAATCTGCAATTCAAACCCTCGACAGCAGAGAGCGCCCCGACCGACGACGGCCGCCGGCCCCGGCTGAGCAGGTCGGCTGCCGGCGCCATCGGGCCGGGCGCGGCCGCGACGCCGCCGGCCGCCGTCGCGCCTCACCTGTTGCTGTCGGCGTCGCGCGAGTCCGAGTACGGTTTGCTGTCGCCGTTGCGGCCGTCCTCCCAGTCCGAGCGGCCCTTGCGCCAGCTGGGCTGGTCCCAGTCGTACGAGGAGCCCTTGCCGAAGTCTGCGGGCGGCCGACCGACGAGCGTGACCGCGGAGCCGGCGGAGCCGGCGGCTCACCAGAACACGGCGGGATGTTTCAGTGGCGACCGTGTCAGGACAGGACGGCACAGTGTACCAAAAGACCGGTCCCGCATGCAGGACTCTACGGGGCGCCGGCTGCCGGACGGTGCCTTATTTTGACCTTATTTTGAAAGTTAAGGTGCACTGCATGTTCATTCCTGCAGGCATGCCGACAGGTGGGGTGGCTAAAACTGGGCTGAAATCCACACATGCGTTGACATGTACGTGAGGTATGCACAGGTTTGCCAGAGGCGCCCAAAGACCGGAAGTCATCGACATGACAAGGCAAGCACGCTGTGAACGACAGCCCCACCGGCACAACACAGAGGGAGAGAGAGCAGAGCAAGCCAGTACAGCAGCTCCTCTCGCCTCCGGTCAACAGACCTCCATCAACGGCCAGGCAGGGCGCGGCCGCCATCCGCAGCGACAACCACCAGACAACAGCCATGAACAAGCGCCCAACAGCCGACCGTGCCAGACTGCATACCGCCGGCCGTCGAGCCCAGGCAGACTGCGCCGCAGACGACACGACTAGCTACACGTGCCCCCTCACGAGGTTAGCTCCCAGCATGATGTGCGTGATACGTACCGAGCGTGACGGTCCAGAAGCTGCCCATCATGGCGTCATCCGGCGGCTATCGATCCCACGCAAGGGGCGTGCCGTCTGTTTACCATCCCGCGCTTGCTTTACCCGCAGACAAGACCAATACAGGAGGCCCGAGAACCGCAGTTAGCGCGCGGTGACCAAGCGGACGCGGCTCAAAATACCTTTCAGGCGAAAGTACCGGCGAGCACCAGGCGCCGAGGCGACAGGAAAAAAAATCAGACGATACTAACATTCAGAACGGAAGCCGGTCGACTCACTACTCATGCCGATATATTTGTCCTTGTTCTTCTTCGACTTTTTCCGCTCTTCGCGCAAGCGGTCGTCGTCTTGTACAAAGTCAATCAGATCTCGCACTTTGTGCCTGGAATCACACAGAGCAGTGGGTGACGTTTCAGCACACAGCTGTTTGAAATGTTAGGAACTGTGAGTTCAAATATTTTTTTTTGTAAACGACGTTTAATATACCATAGGGTGTTGGTTCTATGACGTTGTAATGCTGCAAACGATTACATTGGACGGCGCGCAAGATTTGAAGTTGTGCTCAACCCAGGAGACATACTCCATGACATCAGACAGATGAACTATTCAGCTAGATCGTTAGTGGACAGATATAACTCAGCACAGTCCAGTCCAATCGGGCTGGCTCACTATCAAGTCCAACACCAAAATAATCGCAAAAATCAACGATACAATTATACACTTGCATTTGAAGGGATGTACGGCTCAAACGACATCCCGCTATCTGCCCCTGGCAATTTGTCCCCCCATAACACATTACAGGCCACGAGATCCAACAACGTCCGCCTGTCGTCTCCGTGACAGAGCAATGATCCGAGCCCAGCCTGCCGCGCGTACCCGCACACAAGTGCCGGTCGCGCCAGGCACGGGTCCGCCGGCCGCCACGCGACCCGACCGCCGCCTGACCTGATGTTGATGCCCTGGTCCTTGCCGAACTCGTCGACGAACGTGTAGTTCTCGAGGCTGCGCAGGTCGTAGATGTGCTCGCGCGCCGAGGTGACGACACGCTCCGAGCCGTTCCGGATCAGGTAGTGTAACAGCAGCAGCGACTGGCGGTGCCACCGAACACGGCCGGTCACCACAGGCGGGCCGACACAGACGCACGGCCGGTCACCGGGCCGCGCCAACACAGACACACATGACCGGTCGCCGGGCCGCGCCGACACAGACACACACCGGTTACCGGACCGCGCCGACACAGACAAACAGCCGGTCGCCGGGCCGCGTCGACACAGACGCACACTGGGTACCGGGCCGCGCCGACACAGAAACACAGCCGGTCGCCGGGCAGCGCCGACACAGACACAAACCGGTCACCGGGCCGCGCCGACAGGCACACACCGGTCACCGGGCCGCGCCGACACAGACGCGCGCCCGTCACCGGGCGGGCCGCTCTCGGCGGGACCGCGTCGGGTGAGGATAGGCGACCCCTGCGCGAACCCGCGAAGCTGAGTGTTTCGGCACGCGAACCGTACGACTCGAACGACGTCTGGCGAGGCCCGACAGCGTCAAACGCATCACCAACAACGCTATCACTGCAGCTATTGCTGCACGATGACATCCGCGCTTATGTACTTTTCAGCGCGGGATTACGATCAGCCGCGTGGGAAGATAACGGTTCACATGTCAATGCCTTTTCAAACATGATCCGGCCGACACGCGACGAGCACAAATCGGCTCGCTCAGCCGGACGCGTCGCTCACCACTGACCTTGTACGTCCTCCGCCAGTTGGACCTGTTATCCTGCAGCATGCGCTTCCAGAGCATGCCCATGGCCTCGGGGAACTGTTCGTAGGTGAAGGTGTACTGGGCCACCTCCTGCATCTGCGGACCTGCCACCCCGCCGCGGCCGGTATTACATCACGTGACTGCGGTCAGCTGGGAATTCGCGACGGAAAGGCGCTGGCTCAGTTAATCGCGCCGTCAACGCCGCAGCCACTCAGCACATATCGACCCGGTCAGCCAGCCGGTGTCACACGTTCCAACCGGCAAACACAAACAATTCAGCGCCGGGGAAGCCGTCCGGCGGTGGCGGCGGCGGCGGCTAGTAGCTGGAGCAGGGGGAGGGGGCCGGTAAGAGCGCACGGCGCGGGCGTCGGTGCCTTACCGGTGGGACCCCAAGCCTCGTCGTTGGTCGCCTCGCGCACCCTGGACTCCACCTCCGTGTAGTTCATCACCATGTTGGTGCTGGGGAAGGAAACGACCGTGACCTCAGAGGTGTACCACCACTCTTTTGGGTTGGGCATGCCTGGCAACATCCGGACTTCGATTCTGTCTGTGGATCACGGTGAGCCATTGCCATTTTCAAAATGTTATATAAAATTTCGTGGTTTAATCAACTAGCTTATGTGCAGTCCCTCCCCAGCGTCTATAGCTCTAGTGTTTTGAATACTGTCGCGATCCATGCGGCGGATTTGCACGCATGGATTGCGACGGGCAATCACCAATTATCGAAAGTGCATTCACATGCAAGCACTGGCTCCGTAAGGTGTCGCCTCCTTAAAACCCAGTTACACCATCAACCGTCAACAGCAACCTTTAGTTGAACGGCGCAACAGACGAATGTTCCCATCCACAGCAAACAGCAGGCATCTTTCATCCCAAAATCATGCCAGGGCGAGGATTCAATGCCCCCGCATGGTAGCATTCGTCCAAAACGTTCGCGCAGTCATACGACAGGCGAGCCCTGAGCGGCGGATGTTTACTCGTTACGACCAAACGTGCCACGTCCGCTTGCAGGTGGCATGCATGCGGCACAATGCCGTAGCTGTCCACTTCACTAATCACTATGCAAAACCAAGTCATTAACCAAATAGAAATGCAAATGCATGTGTATAACTTGCAAGGCACCACTGAAGGCTCTGACAATAGCTGCATTACATGAAGGAATGGTCAATAAGCCCGGCACGCACGCCACGCGCGTGACTTTTTCCCGTTACGCAACATTTCACGGCGTGCGGCGTGCCCGACGACCCAAGCTACGCTGCATGGTAACATTACGAACATACGAGTACGACGTTCGCGGAACCAGTGACCCTGAGTGATCGATTCTGCTGTCCGCGCCGCACCACAGGCCAGAGGTCACCGCTGTTTGGCCCGCTGGTATGAATGTCGGACACGTCGCTCGGGCGTCAGCCGTCAGCGGTCGGGTGCTGACGTCAGAGCACGTGACGAGGCGGCGCGGCCGACACCGCTGGCCGCTATGGCCGGCGTACGCTCTGGCACCGCTGGCCGCTATGGCCGGCGTGCGCTCCGGCACTGCTGGCCGCTATGGCCGGCGCACGCTCTGGCACCACTGGCCGCTATGGCCGGCGCGCGCTCCGGCACCGCTGGCCGCTATGGCCGGCGCTAGCTGTTCGGCTCGTGACCTCGCTTAGTCGGGGAAGGCCGTGGACCTTGTGACACTCACTGATAGGAAACATGCTAATGGCTAGCAAAGTGCACCAAGCAAAGTGGTTGAGTAGATCAAACCACCATGATTGTTTGAAATATCACCCCCCTCCCCCCACCCAGCTGGTGGCAACATAAAGCTGTAATAACAGCCAACAAAGCTGTGGTTAGAGCCTCCAGTGTGTGAAGCCAGAAGGGTATCCAGGAGTTTTATTGGCAAGGCTAGGCATCAAAAAGTGGCATGCTGTGCAGAATCTTATGCAAGTACAAGTGTGCTTATAACAAAATATTATAACAAAATATGTTTAAGCTGCTCAAAAGGCTTATTGGTCAATACATGATATAAGGGCTAATCCAAACAGCAAACAAAACAACATAATACAACAACAAATGAGAGGCATAAACAAGTCAAATAATGGGCAATAGGTGGGCCGAAAGGAACACAATTAAAACCAATAAAAGCCGGGTAAATACCAGTCAAAACAACAATAGGTCCTTGAAAAGAGCACAAATAAAAGAAATACACACAAAAAATAAGTGAAGTGCAAAAATTTTCAAAACAAAATGTTAAAAGGTATCAAAGTTAAGAGTGTTGTGGGGTTACAAAGCAATCCAGCCATCTCTACCACCACCAGCTGTGCAGGGCCCCTCTGCATGCCACATCTGGGCTATCCATGCAGCCATAAAGCCCATTTGTATCATTGTCTCACATGATGGGACTCATCTACATGGCAGCAGGGGCCTCTTACAAGACCCTGCTGCAATTAGAAATGGGATAAGAGTAGCATAAGATAAGAGTGTGCCACTTCCGCACTCCGAAAGCCACACTGAAACTGTGCTGTTCCAAATATATATCAGCACTACGATTGATGGGCTTAATAGAGCTGGGTATTATAAACTAGTGTTTATGCATACATGAGCTAAGGGTTATCAATCAAGTTATCAGGAATCATGAGTCCCTGTTTTCTGTCAAATGAGGCCTTTTTGGCTGAAACGGCATAGGCGCTGGATTTTTAGTCACCCCCAGATAAGAAGGCCCTGTTCCAGAACAGGATGTCACTTTGGGAATCAGGAGGTCCTGTTCTGGATCAGGTGGCTATGCTTGGAGACAAGGGTTCCTTTGCTGGATTGGTAGGCCTGCTAATTCACAATCAATATTAAGACTGTTGCACATTATATGGCCTGGAGCTGTTACCAACTGTCTTTACTTGCCTCTGTGAAGCACAGGTTTATCTACACTCCCCTCATTCATTTGTCAGTTAGACATGATGAATTTGCCATACCTACTTGAACAGGGATTACTTTATGGCTGAGATCTTAGAAAGATACCTCATGAACTGCCAGGCACCATTTTCCCTGGGAACTTCCATCTATCACATTTGTCAGGAACAGCCAAGTCTTGTCTTTGTCACAAGTAATTCATTCAGCTTTGCATAATGCATAAAGTACAGGCATAAGCATAAGCAGACATGAGCACATCAAAGTACCCACATCTCTTCACAAGACATGGCTGGTGTGGACCAGATGGTGTAAGTGCTCAGGCTGCTATATACAGAAAAGGAACTGAGGCATGCGCCATGTCCAATTACAGACCCAATGAATTACCATGCTGCTCATTTCAAACTTACTGATGCCAATCATCAGCAAATGGGTGGCTACCAAGCAACAAATAACCACCTAAATCAATTAACCCTGCAAAAAATCTGGGATACAGAAAAAACAAAAACATATGTTAAAGGTAATTTTAAAATAGTGTGAGGCCCCTTAAAATCAGAATGCACTGCCCTTCTATGTCTTTTCTCATTCATGGCAGTCAATTCATTGGCCCCCCCCCCCCCTGACCAGATAGAGAACTTCAGGCCCCTTAGCCCTCCTGTGGCTTATATCTAACCAGGGGCTCCCGGTATGTCCAAAAGCCCTGCACTAACCACAGCTTCTAACCAGACCTAGTGTTTTATAGTGATATATAGTATATAGTGTTATAGTATATAGTGATATAGTGTTAGTGATTTATAGCCTGCTCTGCTGCTTTATTAACTTTTTGTGATTGACTCCCATCTATTTTGAATTTTGACTACTGCCCCATCTGCCTTTCACTTGCTTACTTTCCATGGTTGATTTCTGTTCTTCAATTTTATTTGATACTCTTTTTGATTCATGACATTTTAACTTTACATATGACTTGAACCACCTTAAAATAATTTTGAAAAATTTAATTCTACCTGACTTTTGTGAGTCATTTTACCATTTCAACCTTCCATCTGGCTTTTTCCCATTTGACCCTTTGACTCCTAGCCACATGAATTTCAGTGAACTGAATTTCAGTGCTTTTACTTGTACCTTGGAACTGTAACTACTATGTATACCCTGCATCATCTGATCAGCATAGGGGAGGGGGCATTGCTGCCCAAGCACCTCTCCTGATAGGCTGCACATTTTCATTGTTGTGTGTATTTTCATGATCTATCCACTTTCTTGACTAAACACAACCATACAGAAAGACTAATTCATTGTAATAGCATAAAACATACTTATATCCACAAAGGCATTGCAGGTGCTGGACATTAAAAGATCATCAGCTCCTGATTTTTGGCCTTTTCTATCATTTGTTAGCAGAAAATCATGTAAACAGTGCCTCCTGGCATATTGAGGGTCATTAACTCAACAACAGAACTTGAACTCATAACACTGCAGGTGCACATGGGAAATTTTGTCAAGTACCTTTGCCTAGATGGCCATGCTGAGGAGTGTTTGCAGTGCAAAAACATATGCCTAGACTTTCCAAAGCATTTCAAGACAATTTTACAATTTCAACAATGACATGAGCAAATCTCAATTCTCTTTTCATTGCAGGTCATACCATTTTGCAGGATGTGAGCTGCTTCATATCAATGACAAAACATCAGATGCAAAAATAAAATGAAGGTTAAAACCCCAAAAATTAACATATATTTAAGATACTCACACTTTATCAGCGATCTCCCGTACTTTCCACATTGCTTCTATTTTATGTGGGGGATCTCAGTTGGCTGCGCTGCAGTACGAACTAGTGTAAAGAAACTTGGCGAACAAAACCGTGATCACGTAACTATGCTCTCATGAAACACACATTGTCTGAATTTCGCTATCCGACACCGAACCAAACAGCACAGAATTCCCACCCAGCCGCCTGAAAACGTCTGTGACAAAAAACAGCTCCAGTGAAAGGGAATCGCGAGACCTCGTTGGCGGACAAGCAACGAAAATGACAGTACTCTCCCCGACAGAATCATTCTGCGTAACATCTTTCGCTTTGACGTCATAAAATACGATGCACGAAAACAAACAGAATTGTATTCCAATGACTGACCGGTAAGTAGCTTTTATGACGTCATACAAATATCTTACTTTAATACAAGGCTGCATCCAGAATCCCCTAACATCACACCGGACACAGGTCGTCGGGATGTTGTAACCTATGCAGTGCCCAAGGTGAGTTCTTAGAAATAGCTACTGTTGGGGCTTCCACCGTGGTGCCCGGTAGCTGTCATCAATTTCGGCGGTGAGGTACGGAGCATGAAGTGTTGGTATATTATAGGCAGACCCCGCGAACCAGTCATTTTTTTTACATATCGACATCTAGCGTTGTGAGTGACGGATGAAGTGTTAAAGTTCTCCGACAGGGGGTGCATCAGGCGACTTGTAAATACGATTGACTTAGTTTCAAGACCCTAGTCAGTTGATGTCTCGGGGAAGTGGCGTTGGCAGGTGATATGCTTTCTCATGCAAGCTAAATGGTTAGGTCTCAGGCCTTTGAAGGTTTCAGGTAGCTGAGAGTGGACACTGGACCAACAGTTTGGCAGGTAGGTCAGATACAGGGTCATAAGCTTGTCAGGGGGATGATATTGAGGGGTTCCAATCATTTGATGCACAAGTCACACAATTTGTTTAGGGCTTCATAGATTGCTTTTTGACCTCAGCCCACCTACATGTTTCCACAGGGCCCATTTCAGGCCATCAAACACCTCAATCAATCCAAGGCACTTAGACACTTCCAGAAACCTCACCAATTACTCATCATTTGAATTTCTCTAGGACAGTACCCATAAGATATTATTAAGGCAACATTTGTGCATGTTGAGTGCTCCAGAGGTCCCCCATCTTATCACTGATGATACAATGGCCCCTTTTCTCCCTCTTGTCTGTCCCTGGTTGTGCAGTACATCCATGGATTCATGTAGAGCTGAATGGCCACCTTTCTGAGCAGGTATGCTTGGTGGCACCCAAGAAGTGGTGCTTGATACAATATGATAGCAGGTAGCACAACAAGTGGTGAGCTATGCATTCAAAATGCAATTTTATGAAATCCAATTGGCACTCGGCATGTGTGCTTTTATGGTAAAGCAGGCTAGCAAAGTGAACCAAAGCCTGATCTATTCTTCACTCTGATCCCCAGGCTGCCTGTATTGTTTGTGTTCATTCAAAGACCTCTTTATCACACCAAGATCACTGTGTGGTGAAAAAGGGTCATGCAATTGACAAGGTTGTATTTATGAGCATGTAAACCACAGGTTCTGAAGAGTAGCTTTACATGCTCAGTTCATAGTTTGTTTTAGTTTTTCAGCTCCAGCTCCTCTGCTTCTTGGCACTGAGTTGCCTGTGTGGGGTACATGCAGATCTAGCATTGTTCTGTTTTTCAGTGAATGAACTTTAAGAAGTGTTAAGCTGGAACAGTATTCACAATGGTGGTGGCAATTGGATTTGAGGGTTCTGCAAACAAGATTGGAATTGGAATAATCAAGGATGGTGTGGTTCTTTCAAACCCCCGCCACACTTACATAACTCCTCCTGGTGAAGGTGAGAATTATATCTCCAATTGTGTTTACATCATATGCCAGTTATGGCCAACTCCTTGCACTTTCACGTAGTTACCGTCACACTGCTCTGCTTCTATAGGACAAATTGTAGGACATGTATCCCAAGGTCATGCTGTCAACTTGAGTGCCTTTTCATCACAGGGTTTCAACCAAGTGCCACAGCAAGACATCATCAGGCCCATGTTTTGGATGTCCTTCAGGAGGCTTTAGATTCAGCAAAGGTAAGACCAAATGCGGCCCAGCTTAGTTGGCAAATGTTTTTTTCTGAAGGTACTGGTGCACTGTTCACTTCAGTTAGTGTGACAAGGGAAGTAAATTGAGATTTATCTGCAGCAACATCCTTTTTTAATTTCATTGTCCCAGGTTGTAACCATGCACTTAACATAAGCTTGCACACATCATCACTGCAAATGTCAGCAACAGCCCTTGCATTTTCCAGGTTGCCCCCACTGACATCGATGTGGTGTGCTACACCAAGGGGCCGGGCATGGGGGCGCCGCTGGTGTCGGTGGCGGTGGTGGCCCGGACCGTGGCCCAGCTGTGGCAGGTGCCCATCGTGGCTGTGAACCACTGCATCGGCCACATCGAGATGGCGCGCCTGGTGACGGGCGCCGACGACCCCACGGTGCTCTACGTCAGCGGGGGGAACACGCAGGTACGCGCCGAGGGCTGCGCCGCTAGGAGATGAGCATTGGGTGGTCGGCATTGTCGCCTTCGGAATTGACATGAGTGAGGATGTGTGGGGGTTGCAGAGGATGAGTTGGTGTGTGCTGGGAGGGATGTCACCGAGATAGCTGGCGACGTCAGGAGCCGAGTGTTCGAAAGCATTTGACTATAATCGACGAATTTGGGCTCGACTTTCACTGCTGGAAGTTTGATGCGCCATGCTTTTGCCATCAGTCCGATGAATATGGGATAGCCCAGCCGTGATATGTGTCTGTCCGTGGCAGGTGATAGCATACTCGCAGCGTCGCTACCAGATCTTCGGCGAGACGATCGACATGGCGATCGGCAACTGCTTCGACCGGCTCGCTCGGCTCCTGAAGCTCTCCAACGACCCCAGTCCCGGCTACAACATCGAGCAGATGGCCAAGCGGTACGAGCGGCGTCTCCGTCGTCGGCTGACGCAGGGGTCTCGCGATCCTCGCCGCAGGCTGCACACTGCGTCGACGTTTTTGAAGTCACTCATTTCCGTGTGCTAGATCGTGTCATTTCGTGTCATTTCGCCGTGTTTTGTCACCAATGTGACTCGTGAGGCGGCTGGTCTACATAGCGCTGCGACCAATCCCAGCCGGACAATCGTAGTGTTTCTGAAAACCGCCGCTTTGACGCCTCGGTGACCACCGGTGAGACTCCATGACCGGGGGCGTGCGCCCATGCGTGTCTGTGTGCATCAGTCGGGGCCCCTCCCAGCGACGCCGTCCCTGCCAGGGCGGGCGCCGGCCTCGCGTCTGACACGAGAGCATCGTCGCCAGGGGGAAGCGACTCATCCGCCTGCCGTACACCGTGAAGGGCATGGACGTCTCGTTCAGCGGCATGCTCTCCTTCATCGAGGAGCGCCTGGCCAAGTGGCTGGCTGGCGATTACACGCCAGAGGATGTGTGCTTCTCGCTGCAGGAGACCGCCTTTGCGATGCTCGTCGAGACGACTGGTGAGGGTCGGACTCGGGACTGTGATGGCTTTCTGTTTAAAGTTACGTTTAGTGTAGTGGTTAAGGCCTCTGCGTTAACCACTGCGCGTCTTTGGAGGCCAAAAGTACAGGGTTTTATTCCCCGCGGTGCCCGTCTCTTCTGCCAGGGTGAGAGGCTGGTGACGCCATATGACCGCAGCAGCTGAGGGTGTCGTAAAGCCCCAATGACACAAACACACAGGCACACAAACATTTAACTTGAGAAGGTCGCTTATACAATCGTTTCATGTAAATGTCTGCCATTGAGTCTGAGCATGAAGTTACCTTTAAGAAACACCCTTAATTTTAAACAATGGGGCTTGTTCGGCATCGTTTTGTTTCGGCATCTGCTATCAATTTTGCACAGCATTGTAGGATCTGGTTGATAAAGGAGCACTGCCACCGCCTCGCCCGTATGTTTTATTACCCCATCCGTCACACGCACAACGCACTCAAAGTACGCACATGTACATATCCCCATACACCAGTCGGTTCTATTTGTGTCCTAATTATCAGCGAGAAGCGCTCACCTGCTGGGCCACGTCACGTCATGTTACCCGTGGTGCGACACGTCACGTCGCGGGGCGCTGTGCGGCTGGTCACGTCTTCAACGCCTTCAGCTGCTCCTCACTTCCTCAGAGCGGGCCATGGCGCACACGGGCAGCCAGGAGGTGCTGATCTGCGGCGGCGTCGGCTGCAACCTGCGCCTGCAGGAGATGATGCGGCTCATGTGCGAGGAGCGCGCCGCCACGCTGTTCGCCACCGACGAACGGTACGTGGTCGGGCGCCGAGGTAGGGCCGCCGGCCGGCCGTTGGTGGTGGTGGGGTCCGAGGAGAGCCGGGGGGGGGGGGGGGGGGGCTGCTGTCACTGGTGTACCCCGCCACTGCAGCAGAGCTCCGTGCATGGTGCCGGGCAGGGCCGCCCGCCGGCCAGGGGGGGGGGGCGAGGAGAGCGGGGGGGGGGGCGTCGCTGTCGCTGACGTACCCGTCACTGCAGCAAGTGACCGAGCCCCGGACGTGACGCCTCTCGCAGTGGCTTTTGCCGCCGTCGTCATGAACGCACCACTTCTCACGGCTTTACTGCAAATACCAAAGACACCATTTCACTGTCAAAATAGCCTGGGTATTGTTCCGTGTCGATTCCTTCGGCGTTGCCTTTTCCTGATGTCACTGCTGCGCCGTCATTGTCCGTTGGCCACCAGTGCAGCCAGCCGCTGGCCATCCACACCGCCAGTTTTCGGCTGTTGTCGAATCGCCGGCGAGTGCTGTCCTGTCTGTGCTTCATACCACTGCTTTCTGGTCGGCGGCGTGGCTTATCACTTACTGCATCCTGGTTTGCAAGCTGCATCCATCCTGTGATCAGCGGTGGCGGACGACAGCATCTGTCAGACACGCTGACGCCCCCCCCCCCCCTCCCCTTCCCCGACGCCTGTCCGTGGTGCCGACGTGCCCGTAGTCAGACGCACCTCTGGTAGCTGGGTCGCTACCCACTCGATCACAGAAGCCGTACTCTCGGACGCCTCACACAAACATGTGGGGCGCAGGGTGCCAGTGGCGGCGCCAGCCCCCACCTGAACTGTCGTTCCACCGTCGGCCGCCAGTCACCCACCGACCGTGCACGAACGGCACCCGAATGACGTTCACCAGGTGGAACCAGGCGTTCGCCGGCTGGATCGGTCCCGGCCGGGCCGGCGACGGCAGCGCCGCGGCGGCCAGCAGCAAAACTAACGCGCTCACCGCCGCCATGCCGCCCACGTGTGACGGACCCGGTATGCGGCGTACGACTGGCTCGTGACCGACGGACGGTTGGGCTAGTGTGACGTATCCCCCCCCCCCCCCCCCACCTGCCGGAAAAATTCCCGCTCCACCTGCTGGGACGGGGCGGGGAGGTGTCAACCGGTTGCCAGGGTATGGAGAGGCGGAGTAGGGACGGGCATACACAGGTGTATTCTTTCCACGAGGGGCTACTGGCGTAATGCTCCGAGGCTCAAAAGGGGAGACGCGTCGGCACCGGCCCGCTGCTGGCGCCACTCCTCGGGTCCGAGTGTCTGACAAGGCTGCGGTACATGCTAAACAAAGCCCGCTGGCGGTCGGCGGCTAGGACTGGCGTCTGACATTTGGGTGTTTGGTGCGCGGCAATGACTCATGCACAGGTATAGCCGAACGGCGAGCCGGCGCCGGCTTCTGTTGTCATGCGTCATGACATAACCAGAAGGCATTTCTCAATTGGTTTGGACTTGTGGAGTCAAATAGGGAATTGCCAAAGCTCGCGTGGACGAGCGTGCAGCTGTTGAGGCGCGCCGCTGTCACGTAGAGTGCACACCGTGACCGTGTCACGCAACACAGAAACAAAGCATCCGGAATACGTACAGTGACGCAAAGCGCTGGCTGGAGTCACAGCGCGTGCGCTCTGTGCACGGTGCGTGCCTGACCTCGCCGATCTGCCGGCCACAGGTTCTGCATCGACAACGGCGCGATGATTGCCCAGGCGGGGTACGTCATGTTCCGGTCCGGCACCACGACGCCTCTGGACGAGACGTCCTGCACGCAGAGGTAATGCTGTGAGCCGCCGGCGCCGAGCGCCCTGCTCCGGGAGCGCGGCGTTGCTCGGCGCTTCACGTCAAACATCAGGCGGCAAACCTGCGCTGTTGAGCACGCTAAGTCGCAAATTAAGCACTACTTAGCGCCGTTGCTATGGGGCGGAGTCGCTGAACGCTGAGTTTTAATGTCAAGCGTTTGTTGAACAATTATCTCAATAAATGAAAGGTATGTGATGCATTCACTTCGTAGGTGCTCCACCCAATATGTCCAAGTCACTAGGCGGTACTTTTTGAGTGTTATGCATGTGTTGAAGATGTACAAGTTTTCGTAAATTATCGTTACTCAATGTACCGTTGTTTGCGCGTCGGTCCTAATCTGTTACGTAACGATCTTACATGGCGTGCGTTACGTAGTGCCGTGGTGTGCGCGCGACTCACTGTTTTTTCGTCCATCGCCAGGTACAGGACGGACGCAGTAGAAGTGACGTGGAGGGATCCGTAATGGTGCGCTGCCCGTCGCAAGACATTGCCATCTTCACTGTGATCATCACGAGCGGTGTCGTTCTGACCGCCCTAATAGAGTCACGTTTTGGTTGATTTTCGTATGTCTCTGTTCCTCTGTGACGAAAGAGATGACGCGGGCAAGGATGTGTCAGCTAAGGTATTGCTGGTTTCTCGCATTGGACGCATACGTTAGCGCAGGAGTTACCCGTACTGGCCGAAGTGTCTGCGTTTGGACAAGGATTGTAGTGGCTGCCGCAGTGCCGAGATGACACGACGCTCGGGGTGTTGTTACCGGACAGTCATCACGGCCCCATGACAACCGACCTCCCCCTCACACACATACACACACCACCCGCATGTGCACACTCGCGCCCCGCGCGTGCACGCACGCATGTGCGCGCAAATGTTTGCCATGGACTTCGGTCAGACCACTGCCCAAGGACGGTGATGGTTTTAACTGCGCAGCTCATTGCAAACTGGACACCACGTGGCCTGAAGAGTGATCAGTGTGAGGGGGAGGGGGGAGGGACAGATGGCGTGGAGGGCTAACCACCAGGAGCTGTACTGCGCCGAACCGGCCGTTCCAGCATGATGACGCCTGACTGTGTGCCATGCATACAAGCGATGGCTTACTCTATTCGTATATTATATTCCGGCGCACACGGCGCTCGGACGGAGGGCCGCTGACGGCCCATATAAAAACACAACTGCAGAGCCGGCGGAGCCTGCGCGGCGCAGCGCAACGCAACCCACCACACATATGACACAGTATCTGGCACAACAGACGCGGGCGGCCGGCCGGCCCAGCCCGTGCCGTTTTGTACGTCGTCCGGGGCCACGCGGGCATCACAGAACGGTGGCCCGGCTCCCCGGGCCGGGCCACGCGAGGCTCGTTTTCTCGAGCCGGGATGTCGCATCACCGTCACGCATGGCACTTGTGACGCGTCGCCAGGTGTGACGCAGCGTGCTCGTCACCGGGCGGCGGGCTCTTCCGCGCCGGTCTGCGTCACCTCGCGGTGCGGTGTGCGGGACGCAGTTGGTCCGCGTGCCGACAGGTGGCAGCACCATCGTCCAGGTAGCTGCGCCGTCGGCCACTACTTGAGCACATTGCTATTGTCGTCGCCGTACTCGATGAGCGCGTCGTCCAGCTCTGTGTCCGATATGTCTGAGTCGTCGTCCTCCGTGCAGCGCAGACACCTGTTAGACGGGCACGTGAGGGTCACGTAACAGCTCGTATAACTGACCAGTGGCCCCGTCAGCAGGCGAGCCGTTGACCCGACCCAACCTCACCCCAGAGCTGAGGTACTCTGTGCATCGGTGTCATTCAAGTCCCGTGGTATGAGCCCGGCATGGGTATGACGTACCTCTGTCTCACCAGAGCAGACATCATCGCAGTGGAAGGGACAAACACAAAAGGCATTCGAGTTTCACGTTGGCCCGCACTTGAGAGGGGTTAACTCTCAGTATCAGCTGGCATAAAGGATATTGTTACAGCAGCGTATACTTCACACTACCTCACGAAACTTCTCGTATGCTACATCCTGATACGCGAGACCTCCGCTCGAAGCATGATGAAAATAGAGGCACGCATAAATGTCTTGTGGTTTTTAGCTCGCGGCTAAAGATATGTGGTCGGCATGTTATTGGGTGGATTTCTTGGACCAGCGCCCACGTCAAGCATGGCTTGTAGCGTTAGCCCACGTGATTGCGGTGAATGCCGAGCGTGCCGCCTGGCTCGGTACGGTCTGTCCCGTCTTCAGACGTCGCCTGACTTGTAGGGCGGCCGTTGCCACCGTCCGCAGGCCATCTCAGTCAGGGGCAAATAGGGAGTGCCTAAAGCGTCTTGAACCCATCCTGCCATAGGTGGATGAATCAAAACACCGGTGCTCTAACCAACTGAGCTATCGGGACGGACGTGAATATCACAGTAGTAAGCTTAAAAAGAGTATAATGCAGTCATCTTCATGACACTCAGAGGGGAGGACCGCTATTTGGTCGATAACAATGTAGCTCCCAATGCCTAAGTTAATTCGAATGAATCACACCTGGGCGTAGCTTATCATGCCACAACGTAAACGAAACGACAGAGAAAATCCGCAGGGAACCGGTGGTGAAATGGTTAAGCTGCGCGTCTGGGGAATCAGAAGTACGGGGCTTGATTCCCCGCGACGCCCGGTATTCCTGCCAGGGTGAGGGGCAGGTGACGCCACATAGTCTCAGCAGCTGAGTAAGTAATCTGATGTGCCCAATGAGGGCAGCGATAAAACTCGCACGCGGATCCTGGTGAGCGCGTTCAGCCGGCCTGTGGGCCCATCCAGCGACGTTCAGGGGCAGCGGTTGACACGGTAGTATGACTCGCCTCAGCTTTCTGCTGCGTGAACGGAGGTGACCGTGCAAGAGCAGGTGTGCTTATCGTGTCCCCGCGTTTTGCTTCCGCAGGTATGCATGGCATGATCAGCTGAGTGAAGTAAGTGCTTCTAAGGACATGTCAAGCGTGCTGTACTGGTTGGCGAATCATGAAATCCATCTCGGACTGAATATATTTGAATACTGAAACTGCGGCCACAAACTGGTCGCATGACTGCCTCCGCGTTATCGGAACGTTGATCTGCATAGTGAAGGGACGCACTGCAGGACAGTGGTATGGCAGCGATGAGCCCCGTAGCTCTGGTGCTTCGAGAGGCAGAGCTCTTTTGATTGCGTCGTCATGCCAGCTTCGGCGAAGCCAATGATCCAGTCACCGCAGCAGCAAGCGCAGCCCCAGCACCACGTATTTCGCGTACCAGCCGCAGACGGAGCCCGGTCGCATGTGGGGTGATGATGCATGTATTATACAATGAAAATACTACACAGAGCTGCCCCGTGCAGCGTAGCGTGCAGAAGCGGCCTGGGTCCACCGCCCGGCGAGTCCATACCCCGCGCTGCTGTGACCAGAAGGTCCGGCGGGTTTGGCCGCCGTCCCCGGGCCCGACCGCGACCAGCGAACAGCCCTCCCTCATGAGCCGGCTCAAATCACGACGGTATCTGCCGGCTGCTCCGTCGACGCATGCGCAGAGCGCGGCTCCGCCCACATGCTGGCAATGAGCGCGTCGTCCAGCTCCTCGTCCGACACGGCGTTGTCGTCCTCGTCCTCCTCGGCGGCGCAGTTAGGGCACCTGGTCAGAGAGAGGCGGCGGTCGGTCGGAGGCACGCGTGCACCAGCGCCCACCCGAGCGGCAAGCGGCATGCTGGGTGGCGAGGCAAGCGGGGGCGTGCGGGGGAACAGCGTTAGGTTAGTCCAAGCTTGACGGCGAAATAGCCATCACCGCACCAGCCATTGTCCGCGAGTGTCGGTTCATTACACCAAACCAATGCGTTCAGCGTGGCTCGCGCCACTCGCGCTGTTGAGAGAGCCCGACTTTCCTGCCCAAAATTAATCGGAAGCATGTATTGGCTTGCCAAAGCATCGACCTACGCCACCCACCAAAGCAGAAGCGGAAGCTCGTCGTCGCCGGCCACGTCTCGGCCGTCCCACCTGCTCTCGTTGATGCCGAAGTTGATGCAGGTGCTGCCAACGCATTCGCAGCAGCCGTTGTGGAACCAGCGGAAGCCGCTGGCGCCCATGGAGCTGCAGGAGCTGGAGCACTTGCCCCAGGAGCGGCACTGGGACATGTACGCCACGGTGCAGTTGAGTGTCACTTGGTCGCTGACGTCCGTCTCCTGGCTGTCGTCCACGGACACTGCGGCACGCGGGACACCCGCTCTGAGGCTCCCACTCTGACCAAGGTCACCCATTCTGGGGCCGCTGCGCTGACCATGGGTACCCCGGGTCAGTGCTCTGACACACTCGTGAGAAAGACCTGTCGCGGCTGGGATGCGTCGTCACTGAGCGAGGAGCGGGTGCCGAACGGCATTGTGGTGTCAGACGGGGTCGGACAAGACTGCTGTTTGTTGGTGCACTAACGAACGAAAAGACCAGTCGTGGGAAGTTGGGAAGGTAAGCACGCAGCCAGTTCGAGCGGCAGGTACATGTCATCGCCAAGAGGGGAGGGGAGGGCGGGGGTACCTACGCTTCTACGCGGTAGAGAGGGCTGCTATTTTGTGCACCATTGCGTCGATTTGAGGTTTTCCTCAACCCAGCCTTCAGATATACAGGCATAACAAACTGCAGATGTAAACCAGACGTAAATCCGGTGCGTGTAACAATGCCGTTAATAGTGACCTGACGAATGGACCGCAACTCGTCCAGTTACCCTGTGTGCCGACACGCTCGTTCGCGAAGTACACTCTGCTCAGAAGCCTGGCGAGTTTGCCCGCAAATACTGCAGCCATCAGGCGCATACAAGCTTGTCAGTGAGCGTCGCAGTCCTGGGAGGACTGACGGACCCCTGCGCCCCTGAGGGCCGCCGCCCACTGCTCACCGATCTTGATCTTGTACTTGGTGCTGCTGTGCTTGAAGCTGGTGATTTGGTGGTCGACGGGGAAGGTGTAGCTGACCCAGCGCTGGTTCTGGTCGGGCGTCTCGGTCAGCAGGCGGAAGAGGCTGATTTCGGGCTCAGCGAACTCCTCCACCTCCGAGTGCATGGCCAGGTCTGTCCAGCTTCGCTCCGGCTTCGGGCACATCTCTGCCGAGATTACCGTGTGTTAACGTTACGGGGAACGCGTGCTAACGTAGGAGGAACGCGCGTTAACGTTACGGGGAACGCGTGCTAGCGTTGTGGGAACGCGTGCTAGCGTTACGGGGAACGCATGCGGGCGTTGCGAGGAATGCGGGTTAACGTTGTGGGGAACGCGTATTAGCGTTGCCTTGCGGGGAACGCGTGGTGACGTTGCAGGGTACGCGAGCTTAAGTTTCGAGGAACGCGTGCCAGTGTTGCGGGGAACGCATGCTCACGTTGCGCGTGCTTGCAATCCGACTGGGTACGCGGCCGGGCTTGTCCAGCTCTGCCCCGGCTGGGGGTACGCACCATTCTTGTGAACCTCAAATGCGGTAAACCGACAGCCAGGGACGTAACCAAAGAGGTGAAGGCGAAAAGAGTGCCCTTCCCCCTGGAGAGCTGGAGTCGAAAGATGATATCCAGGCGGTTAAAGAGCGGCTAATTTCCGTGATGCGGATAGTCTCCTCATAAACTGGCAATGGAACAGTGACGACAGAACTTTCTACGACGTTTCCAGACGGATCAAGGGCCTTAGATCGGCAAAGAGGCCTACACTAGTCTGAAATGAAATTCCGGTATAAAGAAGAGAGAGCTTAACCTAAAAATAAAATTAAAAAAATATTTTTGGGACTTAATGTAAAGCTGTGGGACTGGCCGAGTTGACAAAGGCTCTCTCACAAACTAGCCCCCTCCCCTGAGAAAATCCTGGATTCGTGGTTACCGCAAACTGATTCCAACGCCCTACGGGCTTCATGGGCTGAGTTAAGTCCTCCAAGGAAGTTAAATCATAGTTACACATGTAAAGATTTTAAGCTTCTGACCATGACGGTAAATGACATGTCACCTCTGTCTCCATGGTCATATCCGTAACGTTTTGTTGAAACGTGACAAATCAAGCGTACTCATCGCAGGAAATGCCCTTCAAAAATTCCTAACTTTATATTTTTGAGGTGCATTACTACCGTTCTTACCGTTTTCGCAGTTTAGGCCATCCAAAGTCAGGCTCAGTCCATCTTGACATTTATGACCAGATTTGATCTTTTAAAGGTCAAATGTTGAGCCTATTTGAACCTTAACTGCAAGCATCTTAAAGCTTAAAAAATTGCCGACGCTGTTTGTACCAATGATGTGGTTCGGTAACTTCTTCATAGAACCGGACGGACCAGTGAAACAATGGCCTTCACCCCTTTGACCTGGCATGACAGCACCTTATAACAGACTCAACTGTCGATGGTAGCTGGTGTCTGTCTGATAGTTTTCTTAGAGTTATCAACGCCGTTTGCCGCATTTCCGCAACATGAGTCTATTATAAAGTTCTTGGCTGCCCCTTATGACCTAATTTAAGCTGGTAGAGGCCACATTTGCTGTTTCAAAATGACGTATTTCTTCTACCACTTGACGTGATTTTTTCGATGCCGTTCCTTCTGGGCCCCAGCCTGCTTAGTTCTCGAAATTTCGGGGGACTCTGAGGCAGAGGTGGAGTTTACCAAAAAAGCCTACTCACAAGGTAGGCAAAAGGTGGGTGTTTCCATGAATTTGGCCCATTTTCATATCAAACTTGAGGTACTGGATGACGCGGAGGGGCGGGGGCGCTTAAGCGCCTGCTCCTTCAACTGAACTGGGAACTGCGCACCTCCTCTGAGGCCAGCTTGTAGAGCCAAGGTAAAGAAACAAACGTGTGTACGAGGAGGGTTAAAGCACGTGCACTCCGTCTGCAGAATTCACGGTCAGGTCAGGGTAAAGGTCACAGGGTCACTACCGGCGACTTCTCGCACAGTTATTTAATCTGGTCGCATCAGTGGATTCAGAGCGCGGACGAGCGGACGAGCGTGCGTGCTGCGAAGTGCCGTTAATGCGCGTAGTGCTACCCTCTTGTGTGAAATTGCAGTCTGGAGATTCATGTTACGTTTAACTGTTGCATTGAAGTCTCCATACTTCACGTAATGGTAAGTAACATAAGCAACGCGCAAAGCAAATTTTGTTAAAAGCGGTAGTGACCACCAGGGCTACTGCCCAACGGGAATAAGCCCATCGCCATTGTGTTGGAGAGCCGCTCCATAGCGTGAAACGAAATTAAACACGTGAGCTAAACCTAAAAAGCATGACGGGTACGGCCACGACGCACGATACTCACTGAAGCAATAGCAGCACTCTTCGTACAGCTCGTCCAGGCATTGAGCGCATTCCTTGCAGCAGGTGCAGTTGGTGAGGTTTGTCATGTCGCACTTGCAGCTGCCGGTCAGCATACACTTGGAGGCGATGCTGGCGCACACGGCCTCGTTGCAGGCGAGGCTGGGCGTGCCAAGGAAGAGGGCTGCCAGCAGACACGCGGCCGCCAACACCGCCGCCGCCGTCCGGAGCGCCTCCTGCCATAGCACCACGTGCCAAGGATTTACACAAGAATAGCGGTCATTGGTATGCAGGCGTGCAAAAGCACGCACTTCTCGCACCGCGTGCGTACCTGACGTGGTCGGAACCGGTTCGAGTGGGGTGAGTTGATGGGTTTAAGTAATGAAGTCACGCAGACTACGTAGTTAAAAATAGGCTTGGGATGGAACATTTCTCTCGCATTTCATGCTACCACCAGCGTCCATTTCAGATATGTCCCACCGCAGCGCAAACACCTTATCACAAACTACGCTCGTTCACGTCCAAGCAGCGCCGCCGCAAAAACATTTTGCATGAGGCCGCAGGTATCTGTGCATCGCTGAAGCCCCATTAATGACTATCAGCGGGAAGAGTGTACCGTAGGAATCCGCAAGATAGAACAGAAAACGTCTCTTCCCCAGCGTGCGCTCATAGAGGACAAGGCCGGGACAGAGACGGACGCCAAACGCGCACTGTGGTTCTTGCAACAGACTGAGTAAGCGTCGCCACTTTCCCAGTGTCAGGGATGTAAGCTATAGCACCTGAGCACAGGCGATAGGGAAGACTTGGGAGCTGCCGTTTTGACCAAATTTTATCTCGTGCACGCGGGACAGAGTGATGGGATTCTCGCTGGCTCAGGCCCGGCATCTGTGACTTGGGCATGCCACACACTACACAGAAAAGTGTCGGCAGAGTTGTCACTTGCAAACGACACATTTTTCGGATTTAAGGTACATCATGACACCATTTGGAGGAGACAAGAAGATATTCCAAGTCGAGTTCGCTGTTCATTTACAATAAAGATTATGTTGACTTAGGAGTCCATGGCACAGGTATTGTTTGCTTCATTGCCTTCCGCGGAGAGCGGTCGACGCTAAATGATGAGATGTTTTGCGTTGCTAAACCAACAGCAGGTCATATTAAACATGGTCCAAAATAATTTCGGAAGGCTGCACCAGATTTCACGCAGTGCGAGCGCAACGAGCGAAAGCGAAAAGAAGAAGTAAGGGTCCAGGACAATGCACCTGTGTCCTGGATATTTTCTGAAGGTGCGCGGCTTGTGAGCCTTCTCTGAAGCACTGCTTTATGACGCGGAATTCTGAGGAAATGTTGGTGGGGAAATCTTCGTCATCTTGCGGCGGAGGGCAAGACGACCGATTGATCGTTTTGCACTTGGCGGAACAACATAGATGCACCTTTTACTGAAGTAATCTCTCAAGCGTCCCGGTCAGTCGTTCATCAACCAGGTGGACTTGAAGCGGCATAAACTCCTTTGAAGGGTCTTATTGGATTGGGGTTTTATGGCGCGCCGACTGCGGTGGTCATTTTGCCTGGAGGGTCTAAGCCCTGCAACGTCACAGCCGCCAGCACGGCGCGAAAACCTTGCAGCGCTCAGCGGGACTCAAGGCCGTTTTGATTCGTCAGTTGCCATGCACTCTCCAGTATAAGCCTGTTTGAAGTTGGTGACTGGTTGGTGACTGACCGCCATGTCCTGCATCCATTCTCTCCTACACCGGAGAGAGCTAGGACGACAGCTTGAGCTGGCCCGTCAACTTTGGCGTGTGTCGTCACGCGGGGCAAGCTAGGTCCAGCGCTCAGCACCGTCACAGGTTGGCAGAAGCGAGGCCGCCACTCCGTCGTACACTCACCATGCTGGCGACGATGCTGGACGCACGGCTGGGACGCTGCCGACGCGGAGCCGGAGACACCGTCCCGACTCTCGAGCTCGCTCTGCACAGGAGCATCCGCCAGGCCGTCTCGGCCCGAGCGAGCCGCCGGTGCCGGATCCACACAACTATCGCGCCAGCCGCACCGTCGCTGCCGAGGGAGGCGGACCCGTCTGCTGCCGGTGGCGGTAAGGGGGACACGCTCAGTAAGGTGTTGGCTGGCTATTATCCTGTGCTTGCCTTGTGGATGGTACACTGGGTCTGTCTTGCGACTATCGTTATGCTGTGAGGCTTAGGCCAGGAGACTGTGTCAGGGGCTATTTTGACATGTTGACTATGGGGAAGAATTGCCCCCAGCAACCGCCAGGTTCTTCTGAGTCAAAATCGCCCCCCTCCCCGTTAGATGAAACCGTTGCTTTGCCAACAGGTCACACCCCGCCATATCTTTGATACGTTTTTGACATAGTTTGTAGAGAATACATATATTGGTAAAAGTAGTTTTTCTGGGAAAGGAAAATGTCGAAAAGTGACGTAAGTGCACAGCTGATTTTTGTTGATACCGGGCAGGCTTCTGTTTCAGCTGGCAGTGGTTGGCCGTAGGTGGGTGCGAATATTTTAACAACGATGTCACCAATAAGTGCTCTTAATGCTTGTGACAATATAGCAGCATTCCGTTCTCACTGGCTCGATTTCACAAACTGCTGCGACCACTAACAAAATATAGCGATCGCACGACATGAGTCGAATTTTCTGGCGGACCCAAGAAAAGGAGAGGTTGCAAATGCTGGCACGCTCGAGAGGAAAGGATGATACACCCCAAAGCAATCTTGTTTGTGGCATGATTGCAAAATTCGACACAATTCGACGCGGCAAAGTAGATTTGCCCGAAGTAAACACGAATCTAACAACGGAATTGTGAACGTCATAACCCACGGTTAGTCAAAGCTCAAAACTGTGAATTTGTAGCTGCTTAAATGCTATAAAACTTCCTTTACCAACGTTTAGATAATTTTGGACTATGTTGGAGCACCGTGAATAACGACGTTCGTGGCACAAACATTCAATCATTGTTTGCAAACTGTTTTTGGTGCGTTCGAAGCAAATAAAGAGTTTTAAGCGTGTCAGCGTCCCACCATCAACAATTTTGAGCATTGTGAAAACGTTGGTCGCGACATTCACGACCCACATGTTCCACACTTGTCCGCCACCGGTAAATGGACTACGCTGACTCGAATGATCTGCACTCTTGGCACCAAAAGAGGGTTTTTGAGCGCTGAACATTGCTCTCAGGCGTGAGAAGATTGTAGTGCCTTCCAGAAGATTTATAGTACCTTCCAGAAGGCCTTCCAGAGGCTGCGATCCCGCAGCGATTTGCTATCGACTTTAGTTCCGCTATGTGTCGCTGCCACTTTGAAAACTGAGCCATAATCTGACATCTGAACGAGCGCGTTGATGGCCGCACGTGCTTTTAGAGGAAACGGCTAAATAAAGGTGTTTTCTTTTACCTCGGGCAAGTGTCCACAATGAAAACCATTCGAGCAATGCAAATCCATTGCAAGATACCGAAAAGGCTTTTTTTGGTTGTATTCCGTACTTGAAACACAAACCAAAAACAAAGGGTATTAAGACTCGCATGCGGCTTCCATCACGCTGCAGAGCATGGTGTGCTCCTATTGGGGTTCCGATCCTCCTTGTGGGAGGCATCTGCGACAGTAGTCTCCGGGCCTGTCCGCGCCGTCGCGGGGTGCATCGCCGGCGCCGACAGGCCCTTCCCCGCGCGGCGCCTGGCTTGCCCCACTGCGGCCGGCCGGCCTCGGCCCGCTCACCTTGGTGAAAATGCTGGCAACGCCGGCGGCCAAACCGAGGGCTTCCAAAGCGTCCTGCGTCGCAGGTCACGACTCATGTCGGACACGGCTCACGGTGTAAATCACCGGTCGGTGCCAGAGGCGCTCTCAGGCATACGCGGCAGGGGGGCTGCGGCCCCAGGCCGCGCGTGCCCCGAATTCCAGGCGCCATCCGGCGGCAGTTGGTAACAGCCGGTGTGTTCCCCCCTCCCCACCTGACTTCCGCTGTCTCCGCCCGTGTCATTAGCGGGGTGCGCCCCACAGCGGGGGGCCACAGGTGTGCGCCGTGGAAGGACCTCCGACCGGCCGCACCTTCTCAATGGGTGCCAGCGGCGGATTCATACAACAGTGCCGCACCACCCGCACGACCCCGCCCGGGACACGTGCGGCACGTGTCCAGTACCGTGGGAGAACACGGTGAAATATGCGGATGGGCCTCACCCATCCGCGAGTCGTGCGAAACAATTCCTTGTTTGATGTACGAGCTAATACTAGTGAGGCATTTTTCAAGTGCATTTTTGGATCGGTGGCCGGTTTTAGAGAGCAGAACTGTAACGTCACACTGTGTGAGCTATAACTTCACACTGTGTGAGCTATAACTTCACACTGTGTGAGCTATAACTTCACACTGTGTGAGCTATAACTTCACACTGTGTGGGCTACAGCTTGTGATCTCATTTATATGCGCACAGACCGTTCAGCGTACGAATGGATTGCGCCTGGGAAAGCTGGCAAACCTTCCGGCATCCATCGAGTAAAGGCCTTAGTCCAGCCGAACTCGAACTCTGGCTCAAGGGGTTTTAAGATCCGACTTGCGTGAGCCAGTTCATTTTAGGAATGATTTGAGATCAGACTCTGACCCGACAATTTTTATCACGTGGTCCCAAGGCTATCGTGGTCTGAGGTTTCGCTCAAGGCACCAGGACTAGATCTCTGACTCCGGAGATTTCGGAAATCTGTGGCTCGGACTGATTCCATTTTTGCTGAAAATTTAGCTGCTGTTGAATTTTCATAGCAGAACGTAACCTGTAAATAATAATTTTGATGCACACATGCTGTTCGGTGGCCTCACACCAATTCTGGATTGAATCAGATATATCAGGTTTGTTTTGAATGGCCATGGTTCGGTCCAGGTTGGCTTGCATTGGACACTAAAGCATCACGATGGTCATCAGCATCTAACTGTGATTTGGGTTGATATCTATTAAGCGAGACTATGGGCCAAGACAATTTTCATGCTGAAAATTACCTGCCTTGATATACCAGGAGGTACTGTCTTAAAGCAGACTTTCAACAGTCGTTACAGCATATTAGAATATTTGACGCTTTCAACAGTGCTTAAAGTAACGCATAAGCAAGGTTAAACAAGGTAAAACACGATGCATGGAGGTAAGAAAATGTGCTGAATCCCTGCAACCTTTAATAAATGAAAAGAAAGCCAAGCCAACCACAGAGCTGTCAGCCAAACTCCCACTTCATGGCACTCGATACACTGTTCTATATCTAAGAGCTGTATGATCTCTGTTGCGGGACAGAAAGGTATCGATGACTTGTACCGAGCATTGGTTGAAATATAGTTCACCATAGGAGAAAGAACATTTGCGCATTCGTTTAATCACGCAGCTTCTAACCACAGATACACGATACTATGCCAAGCGCAGCTCAAACCATAAATGGCCAAACCAAAGTTTCATCAGTGTTCAAACTAGCACAACGTTAAAAAAGTACCCTGCTTCAAAAGCAACCGTTAAGTGACATTTGATGATGACGTCCGTGCATTTAGCCTCGGAAAAATTACTACTATTCAGCGATTCTGGCCTCTGTCGTAAGCAATTGTCCACGCTGTGTCGCGGCGTTTTTAAAGAGTGCGTTTTAGAGACGACATTTTTTGCCTCAAATGCCATTCCCACTGGCTTTTCCCCGCCTGCTCTGCGTTTGTGAACCGATAGCAACTGTGGGTTTTAAACTCCGAGTGCATTGACCTGGTCAATGTGTGCGGTCTTATTTATAAGCGACGATGTCGCTGCCACTAAATCACTATGTAACGACCATGTCACTGCACGGACGGCCGTGCTACGCCTCCGGGTCACGGGCGCCGCCATGATGTGCCCCGGCGTCGGGTCACGGGCGCCGCCGAGGTGTACCGCGGCGTCGGAGCAAGAGCACCACTGAGGTGTATCCCGGTGCCAGTCGCGCCGCGATAAGGAACTCGAAACGACGCTGTGGTCAACGGCCGGGGCCCCCCTCCCGCCCGCCATCAAACACCGCCCCTGCGCGGTGGCGCAGACGGTCGAAGAGAGGGGGGGGGGGGGGGGGAGCGTGCACAGGGGAGCGTCCCGCGGGCCTTTGGCTCACTCGGGACCGACGATTAAGTTCTGAGGGCCAAAGGGACCCCGTTCGCTGGCTGGAATCGCACTCAGGTCCCGGTCCGCAGGGCCGGATCTCCTGATGTCAGTCAGGCGCCGATTCCGATCGGCCCTTTACGCCGATCGGGTCGATGAGAGCCAGGGGACAGGGTCTGGGTTAGCTCGGAGACGCTCACGCTCGACTGATGGCGGCCGGTGGCCGAGGGTGCCAAGTGAACGTTGGTCCGGACCCTGTCGACGACATCTCGAGGAGGCTGGACTTCGCGGCCGGCGAGTATGGCGGCATGTGAACGACTGATCCCTCGGCAAGGAGTCGGTCTGTGGTCGGACCGCGCGGCAGAGGTCACACGGCGACGGTCAGGTCACCTCCTCACAGTGGTGGTGGATGACTGACTGGGGGCCACACGACTCCGTATAGTGTGAGCCCGAGCTGACGCGTGCCCCGACTTTTGAACTATTTTGCAATTTACGGTGCTTCCGCGCGGTCTAGTAGGGAGCGTGCGTTGGAATGGTCATGTGCAGCGTTATATGCTTCGTCGTTTGTCGACCAAAGTTGTCGCAATGAGATCTGATTGGCGAAGCATTGTGTGTTAAGCCACCCCGGAGACACGTCTCCGGTCCCAGCTCCCGGAGACCGGGACGTCAACAGATGCAGTGATCTGCTCTCCCCGGCCAGTCGCGCACTTACATCGGAAATCCAAATGATCTGTTGAATAGGCCATTGAAGTCATTTCACCCGCAGGTTCTGACGGTTGACAGCGTGCTGTTCTGCGACGAATACCCGTCATGTGATGGTGCGAGTGAACAGCTGCGGCTGCTGGCCAGCCACCCACCCCAGTTCTTCGGCAGGCAACACTCAGGGCAAGAGATAATAAAGCCTATTCTGATCGGGACAAGTATAACCAGCACCAATGTTATGCTGCTAGGTCCGCATAACTGTATCCACCTGATCCGCCGTTTTCATAACTCGGACTGACAGGGGTGTCGATGCGACCCACTGGTGTGGAGGTAGTAATGGAGATAGTAATGGAGAAATAGCTTGAAGATATATTAATGGAAATAGTAATGGAGACAATAATGGAGATAGAGCAGTGACGGAGACGGAGCTTAGCGGAAAAAGACAGGGGATAAGTCTCAACAAGATCTTGCAATTACTGCCAGTTTCTATGTCGTCAGGTCAATAATTTACCTTTTTGACAGGTCAAATTTAATTTTTCTCAGAATTACCTTCCTTAGCTTTACATCATGTATATAATACCAGACCTTGTGGCGACACAGTTTAAGCAGGCGTGTTTCTTGTTGAGTTTTGAGTATAATATGGTATATACTTATGTTTTTAACGTGTTTTTTAATCATATCTGGTTCCGTTAATGAAATGAAGTCGACCCACCACTCGCGTTCCAAGGCACCGTCGGTTGCCGCCTGCCGGCCACTCCGTCTGTATATCACCGCGCAGTGCTCCTCAAACCGGCGCCGCTTCGAAACCAGAAATGCTAAGACACAAAGTAGACCCATTTGTGTAGCAAAAACACACGCAGCAGATGCTCCATAGACTTCTGGAAAATTGGGCGCGATTACACAGCACGCCGTAGAGGTATCCTAAAAACCCTAGTTTGGGGAGCCGCATCGACCCCCTCCCCCCCCCCCTACCCTACCTACCCTACCTACCAACCTCCGTCCTATCAGGGGGGAGGTTAAAGGCGCTATCTAGTCAGCATAAACTGACTCGATGAAGTCAACTAGATGACTCGATGAGATCGCTTCACAAGGTCAGTAAAAACTGACCGGTGCAGGAAGCAAGTTCTTATGCCGGATGCGGGTGGAATCATCATATTCATGCCAGCGCTTTCGCTGTGCTGACTTCTCTGTGCAGGCTACACCCAACCTGCTTGTGGAGAAAGTCAGAACTGGTGGGCCTGGGTATTTTGTCGGAGCGTCGATTTTGCGACTGGTTACCATGACGAGGTGCAATGGCATTCTGAAGAATGACGAACTGATGCGCCGATGAAAGGACGAGTGACGAGCTCTGATAGCGACTTTAAGAGGTGAGTGTTGAATGTATTGCAAAACACGTGCATTTGAATGATTCATGACCTTCATTGCAGTGACACATTGTGCAAACAAGCGAGGGCAGAATGACTAACTGCCAAAACACTATTCATTTCCATGCCACAACAGCAAAGGTAAATAAATACCGTACAAAAGCAATCTCAGCAGCTTACGAACATTCACAAAGCGCAGATCAGCACATAAGAGGCGTATATTACCTTACACACCACATACACACCCCTCATCTTACGTGCTGTGTACACAGCCAGCAGAGGCACCCTCGCTTTTGACATCACCCGCGCTGCCATGCAACGTGGGCGCCCATGTCCGCCATGTCGTCTGCTTTCCGCGCCAGAGACAACCCGGTTCCGTCTCCTCCGCCGCGCGCTCTTCAGTAGCCGCCACAGGCCTGCTGACACTGGTGTCGCTTCAGGAAGTTGTTGGCGTTGCCGTCGCAGCCGCCAAAGATGAAGGGCTGGCAGGTGCCGGTGCTGGGGTTGAAGGCGTACCTCTGGAAGTACGCCCTGCAAGGGCCGCGAACCACAGGGAGAGAGCAAGCGGACCCTGAACTCCCTGCAACGAGAGAGAACAGCGTTAGAAAGCGTCGGAAAAGGTGGGGCTGGACCAGGCCGGACAGTGCCGGACAGTGCCAGATGGTGCCGAACAGTGCCGAATGGTGCCGGCATCATTCGTCTCTGGTGTTTTTCCCCCTCGTGTTATTCAGCGTGGTCTTGTGCTACTCGTTTATTTCGCCCGTTTCCAAAGAAACGACTCGTGATTTGGTATGACAACAGCTAACGTCGTGTACGCGACCCACGATCACATAAGCGATCCGCACATACTTGGAACATGCGTCACATCTGGTGTGGAAAGCTTCAAATTGCCACGGAATTTTCTCAGCCGGGGTTGCGAAGAATGGAGGCACGGTCGTCCATGGTAAGGTTGGGAAATTTCTTTCCGGCCCACTCCCATAGGGCGAATAAATGTTGTCGAAAAAATGTGGTGACTCAGTCGACTTGCCCCTTCCCCTCTGCACCAGTTACCATGCCCCCAAGAGGGCATGGTTACTGGTGCACCCCAAGAGGTGTTCACTCTGATGCGTTGGGTGTGACCTTAGACCTAAGCACATCACGTGTGAAAAAGGAACCAAAAAGAAATTGAACTGTGAGAGGGTGAAACAAAAGGGGTAACCGTAAACGGGGCAGTGAAAGAGGCGTTAAGGTAAACTGAAACGAGAAGCTGTAGTGAACAACAGTGCTCATCAGAGCATGAGCCGATGGCGCAGACTGCATGTACTACATTTAAGTAATACGGCCATAGCTATACTGCCAGGTGACAACTAAAACGAATGCTCTCCTTTTCCGTGATTGCAAAAGTTTGCACGGCATGAATTGTTGCGTCTCGCATCTCAACGAGACCCACGTCTTCCAACTACCGACGGGCTCTGCTCAGTGTCTTTCCGAAGGCCAAACCTGCGTGAGAATGCAAGTCACCTGCACCGTCAAAATGGCTACGACAAGCCATCATGCTCGATGGTTGCATTACAGCAGCCACCTGGCTGCGCATTGCAAGGGGTTTTATTGCGCAAGGTTATTGATTGAATGGCTAGAAGTTTGGTTTAACCTCTGCTTCGACGTTCATGCATGAATGAGTTGAGGCTGAGGACAATGCCAAATTATACGGTGTGATAATGGTAACTGATAAGTAAAATAAATGAAAAATCGCTCATCCGTACCAGAACAAACGTCTGACTACAGCTTTTGCGACCAAAGTTATCCTCTGTTGCGTTTTTGTGTCGATCACGGCGTCCTCCCTTCCAGGAAGCCGGGTCCGCACTCGGTGTACCGCGTCAGACCTCTAGCACCGACCCTGCGCACCGCACCCGGGCCCCACGGTGCGCAGCGGCAGGAATCACGCCCCGATGAGGCCGTCAGTCCCCAAACACATCGGCCATTTGACCTGCGTGCCCGCCAGCAGCGGACCGGAACACACGGCGGAGCGAAGCAGGCGCGCCCGCGCCTACAGGACGGGCGCGCAAGCTCACAGTCGTCATGACCTTGGGACGGTCCGCAGCAAAACACCACGGCGCGCCGAGACACTGCAGGTGCTGTGGCGAATGTGCGTGCAGTCACGGATGTGCGTCACAATGTGCGGGCGTGAAGGCATTTACAGGCGTGCAAATAGGTGCATTGATGTTTACATCTGCACGTGATGCACACGGAAAATGGAGTGGAAGGTGGCAACAAGGCGATCTGTGACGTCATGCAAGGTGTTGGCGCTGAGCGTCTGTCCTGAGTCGGCATCTCTTTCAAAAGATGGGAAGCCATTAGATGAACTAACAATTCACGATGCCAACGGCTAACAGATGACCGCACAGATCAATGACGCCGACCCACCGGAAAGTCAACATGTAGACCTCCGCTCCCGGGACCTACAAACTAAACACCCCACGAGTCTGGCAGCGGCGAGACCGATAACGCCCCCAAGGTCAGACTCTAGCGAAGCCCAACCATGCGCCGTACGAGCGTCTTCCTGCGCGCGAGCGCCGCGGACTGGTGGTGACGGGGCTCGGCCGGCGGTCGCGAGGTGCGTCCCACTCGCTCAGCACGACTCATCCCACCTTGCGCCCAGCAGAGGGGGAGGGGGTCACGACACTCCTCTTCAACCGGAAGCTGCACCACACGATGCACAATGCCATGACCTGGACTGGCCCGCCGTCAGTGTGTGTACATGGGGGGGGGGGCGGAGAAGCAGCTCCGCGAGCGGGACGTGACACATTGACCTGGGCTGGCCCGCCGCCGATGTGTGTGTGGAGGGGGGGGGGGAGGAGAGGGGAGGGGCAGCTCTGCGAGCGAGACGTGGCATAATGACCTGGGATGGCCCGCCGCCGGTGAGGGAGGGGGGGGGGGCGGGGTGCAACTTCGCGAGCGGGACGGGGCCGAGTGACCCGGCTACGGCCTCGAGGAGCGGTACTTGGCAACTCCGGTCACCTGACGTCACCAAGGCTCCGAGAGGCGTCAACGTGTTTGGAGGTGCCGACGGCGCCTTGCAGCCGTGGTCTGAGTGCCTGGGTCATGGATCCCCTGTACACCGTAAACAACAGATCTCACAGCGACGGCGGAAGCAAGCTGTTGAAGGCCCTTGTCTGATACAACATAACAGGCTAGAGTCATGTTCTGCAGCGGTGTGCTGGTCAATACTAGATAATGCCCGTTCGTCGCTGGGCTAGTCTGGTGCATTGAATAACACGTGGCGGCGAACTCATTGGCCTTCCGCATAGCACGTCGGTGATCTCGGCAACCATTTAGCGCAACAGTTGGGAGTGGATGTACTGTGGCAGTGGTAGTGGATGCACAGAATAGTATCCAAAGCATGACATTCTTGCATTCAAAACGAACATTCCTGGATCAACCATGAGACGTCACACTTTCTCCCGTTGTGAGTCGTTACCTGCAACGCTCAAAAAAGAAAATAAGCCCTGCGACCGGCGCAGGCCCTGGGTGCCTTTGGGATTGCCGTTAGCCAAGTGCACTGCCGGCCTGGTGCGGCTTTTATTCGCTGTTTCTTCGCAGCCGCCCGAGGGGACGAGCGCCGGCTAGCCTCGTTCAAGTCCATATTTCGTCGTTTGATCGAGCTGCGACAACTCCGGACTGAGTCGACTGCAGCCAGGCGGCCGCGCTCTTCCTCTCGATCCACAGGGGTCCTCCTCGTCGGTTCGTCCCCCGTCCCTGTCCCACTGTGACTGTGGTGAGGTAGGCGTATGGGTGACAGAAGGCTGACACCAATACTAGTAGTAGGCTGACAACAACAGAAGCAGCGGGCTGGTCGGCGGCCTGCACGTAGTGTGCCCCAAGTGACTCTTTAACTCTTAAACTCATGCGGGAACTAGTGAGAACCGTATGGCAATTCCACAATGATGCCGACTACCGGCATAGCCAGGAATGTCAATACATGCTTGCCATGTGCTCGTTGAAAAGAAACATCACGCCATGTGAACATGTCACTAGGTATCAAGTGCTAAAACGCTACTCATGGAACACAAACCTACAACCGGACATAAGTCTACAACCAGCGCAATCGGATGCCTGTCTTATGATACGTTTAATGCACGCTGTGACCATGAGACGGTGGATGATGGTATATTTTGTTCCTGGGTTCAAATTTGAGAGCATGTTCGGTTTCAAACGGACTCAAACGACACTTACGAATACATAACAGATAGCTCGAACCAAACTCTCGAAGGCATGCCTCATCTTCTGACCATACGTTAGTTCTGAGTTTCGGTACAACATTGTATAAGCATAACAAAGCCTAAGGGAAATGCGGCGTGCAGAAGCGATGCTGGATGCACGGTATGGTGATCTGGCGCGAAGCACCAGACCAAATAAAGATGCCGAGTCCGTATGTGACACTGGACCGCATGAGGCCCAGGCAGTTCATCACGGATGCAGAATGGAGAATCCAAAGGCTTCGTCCAGTGGGTCATGGCATCCAGGGTCCTGTTCACAACGGGCCGTTTGGCCACCGGGAATTACCCGCTGTACCGTATGACGGGCAGCAACTGGAGACCGCACGGTCCGCGCCGGTTCAGCCGCCCACCCGGGTGGACATCCCGTCAGATTCAGTCCATCTCTTACGTCACACCGGGCGAAGAGCCCGCTCGTGAGTCCACCTCTGACGTCACACCGGGCGCAGCGCCCGCTCGTCATCCGGCCGGTAACGGACCGGCGACGACACGGGGCAGCCGGGCAGGTGCAGACGCCGGTCGTGGCAGCTTGGCGCGAGACCGGTCCGAGCTACGGGGCGTGGTTACTCTCGGGGCGGGCGGCACGGAGAGTGCTGCTTGCCCAGAGACAGCGAGAGCGATGGCTGGTCAGGCCGTCACCAGCAGCTTTTGCACTGTGATGGCCCCAATAGTGACGTCACTGTGATGGCCCCAACAGTGACGTCACTGTGCCCCAACAGTGACGGCGATATGGTAACATGGCGGTCATGTTGCCGGCGTGAGAGGGATTACTGCTGGAAAGGGCAATGACTCGGTATAAGAACGGTAACCGCACTGATACCACCGCCCGAAGACAAAGCTCTTGATCCCTTGCTTTCAAGACGACGCCCAAGGTGAGCTTCTGCAAACAATTACTGGTGGTCCGATCCGTGCGTCATTTGCACTGCCCGTGACAAATTGTCGCAAGCCACCTCCCGGAAAATCCCATGAGTGCTCGTGTGTCTTTCAACCGTATTGTAAGAGTGGTGGCTACAACGAGCCGGACTGTGACGGAATCCTGGCACGATCCGCATGATCCGCCGCCAGCACTAAGGCAGCAATAACTGGCTCTGACGCCGACCCCTCGAGC